TTGGGTATATTGTTGATGGTGTGTATGAGAGAGGAGAGATTGGTGCTTCAATCCAATTTTGAATACAGAGAAAGAGTGATTGGGGCTTGATCTGATATTGAATATAGAGAATCTGAAGCTACATCATCGTCTTCTTCGGCATCGTCGTCTTCGTCCAGATAGACAGAGAGCGATACTGATAGAGAGAGAGTGTGGTGGCCGGGTGGTGTCTTCCATCGTCGTCGGTGGTTAGTGTCTTCCATTGTTGCCGGTTGGTGGGATGAGATGATGATGATAGAGAGGGAGAGGATGATGGGTGATGCTCAAAATGAGTGATGCTCGGCTGATGAGTCAGTGAATGCTACAGTAACAGAAAGTATTTTCTGTGTACAGTGGAGAAAATAGAGAAATAACAAATCTTCACTTTCTCTTTCCTTCCTTAAATGTGAAAGTACTTTTTAAAAGCTGAAAAGTAAAATCATCTTAATAAACATAATTTGTACTTTTACTTTATATTTTTAGAAATTGAAAGTAAAAAACAAGAATGATTCCTGTTAGTAAACAGGCCCTAAGTGGGGGTGTGGATTTTAGGTATAGATGGCAACCGCGGGGCGCGGGGGGAACTGTTTAAAAACTCGACTCCCGTTCTCGTCCAAAACCGTAAAAATGGAGAGACTTTTCATCTCATTTCCGCAACCGTTTAACATTTTTACCTCGCAGGTACCAACCCGTCCCGTTTATGACCATAATTTATTTATTGTTAAAATAGATTTGCTTTTTTTTTTTTTTTTTTTTTTTTTTTTTTTCACCATTGCAACTTTTCTTTTAATCAAATTCATTTGTTACTTTAATATTGTTATATAGAATACGTAATATCTATACTGGGAAATATATATACTAATGAAATAAGGGTACGGAGTCAAGGAATTTAGGCCAAAATACCAAATGAAAGTAGATCGATTTTTTTTCATTCCCGAGGAAGTGCATATCTTACCCGGATCTTCTTCCATAATGGTACGAAACAATAGTCTCATTGGGGTAGATACACAAATCGCAAGTTTAGTAATGAGCATAACGGCCCTATTGTTCCGATGGAGAGAAGAACCTATGATTAGCTTTTCGGGAAATTTCCAAACGAACAATTTCAACGAAATCTTTCAATTTCTTATTTTACTATGTTCAACTCTATGTATTCCTCTATCCGTAGAGTACATTGAATGTACAGAAATGGCTATAACAGAGTTTCTCTTATTCGTATTAACAGCTACTCTAGGAGGATTAGGCTCGGAATTATTGGAAAAATTCCTTATGGAGGAGGAACAAGTTCTTTCTTTGACCTTCCCAAGAGCTTAGCCATTTGCAGCAAGCTCAAACTTCCTTCTTGCATGCGTGCCCCTCCCGAAACACATACTATAATAAGAGGTAGAAATTTATTGGTAGCATACTCGACCAAACGGGTAATTTTCTCCCCAACTACGGATCCCAAAGTAATATGCCTATCTAAATGGGGTAGGGCGACCTCCCCCACTCCACCCCATACCCACGCAGATTTTTATTACATCGTACCATTTATACCCAAATAAGTTAAACGTCAAAAACAGGATGGGGTGGGACGGGTAGCCGCGGGGCTGGTCAAATTGTCATCCCTAATTTTAGGTAACCAAGATGTCAATCAATTAAAGTGTAAGGACCCTATTACCTTTATATTTTCAAAAAATAATAAAAAATAAATTTTAATAAACAAAAATACCCTTCTTTTCTTCCCTTTCCCTATCCCTTTCTCTCTTCACCAACCTCTCACTGCCACCATTTCATGTACCCAAGGAAATAACTTATATAATAGGAAAAAGAGCTGTGATAGAGAAACCGAACGTTTTTACCGAAATAAACACCGAATCTTACGTGACTTTGTCTACGTCAAATAATTTCATAACCTAACCCCTTATCATCGATCTTTTTTCTCCTAGTTTTTCCTTTCTCTCTCTCTTCCTTTCCATTTCTCTCTCCTCTCTATGTCTGGTTCTTTACCAATTCTTCTTATACATCACCTCTTTTTTTTCATATCCAAAGTAGTCTAGAGACAAGATCTAAAAATTTTTATCTTCACTCTTTTTTCAAGATTGCCTACTTTTCTCTTTTCTTAAATCTTCCAAAAATAAATCTTTCCAATCCCAAATGAAAAATATGCATAAGAATTTTTTTTTTGGGTAAGTAAATATCAACACAAGAGTTGCCATTACAAAACACATTAATCTCTTATGGAATAAAAAATTAAAAAAAAAAAAACTAACCCAGAGAAGAGAAACAAATGAATCTTCTCAAAGTTTCTATTTAATTTTTATGGATACAAAATCTGAAGGAGAGAAACAACAGCCAAACTTAACGTGGCTTCTCAAAGTTGTGCTTCTGTATTTGCAAAACATGAAGAAATTAAATTTTTTTTTTTTAATTTTATCTTCAAGTTTACGAAATAAAAAAGAGAGACAAAACCAAAATCAAAGATAAGATTGAATATAGAAGAAAAATCGAGAATTAGAGGAAGAGAGGAAAGAGAAGGGAAGAGGTAGGAGTTATGTTTTTATAAAATAATCTGACGTGGCTTAGCCACGTTAAGTTTGACTTTTTATTCGATTGTTTGGTTCGGTTCTCTTATCATTTTTCTAGGAAAAAACAAAAGTGAGAGAATTACTCCTCGAGAATTTCTCCCGTAAAAAGAGTTTGGAGTAAACAATTAAAGAATTACAAATGTATCTTACCACAACAAATCCCTGTACAAGAACATTTTGCACAAACAAAGAATTGTCTTTGTTCTTATCCTTTTAAATGTGCTTGTCAGTTTCTTCTTTGATTTATTATTTCTCTAATAATAAGTCAGTAAAAGGTTTGTTGTCAAAATATATAGAGATAAATCGAATGCAAATTTATGCAAATGAAACAAATTCATAAAGAATTTTACAACTTATTGTTTCATTAACGTTAAAGAGACACTTTAATCTGATAATTGAACTAGCATGTGAACAGAATGAAGAATATATACCGAATATACCACATTCTTACGTTTTCTGTGATATATAAATCATATGTATGACTATGACTAGTAAAGCCATTCCATATAAGCTTTGATTATAATACTTTTTCCTTTTTTTCTTTCCTCTCTTTTTTTTTTAATCAATTATATATATTTCTTTCGGGGCAATCAACCCAAACTTAAAATGTGAAACCAATACATTTGGGTCCTCTCAAATTTTTTATTTGGAAAATCTTGGTTGTACACGAGCAATTAATATTTAGTCGCCAGATGCACACAATCTTTTAGTTATGTATGTGAAAACTATAGTAAACTTTTCAGTGCTCTTTTTCTTTCTCATTTTTCAATTTTCTTTTGACATTTTTTTTTCCTTCCAAAACTAATGATTAATGCCAATTTTGTGGCCGATTGGCATTTAGTTTAATTTATTTATTTTTTCTATCTATCTAAATCTATATTTATATTCATTTATTTTATCTTAATAATGCAATCTTAAACACCACGTACTATTTTATGGCTCCTTCAATTGCTCTTTATCCTTAAGGAAGTCTAAGGATCTTGGATGGATCTAGTAAATCGAAGGAAAAAAAAAAAAAAAAAAGTTCAAACACCATTTCAATGAGAGAGAGTACGATCTTTCGTTAATATGGGACCAAAGTCGTAATACATGGGCAAGATGGGTCAATCGTAACGTTGACCCTTCCAAGGTCAAAGTCTTCTTTAAGGGATTTCCCCCACCCATTATTACTTGTAAGCTTCAGAGTCACAAAATAACTAGTGGTCCCACCAAATTTTGGTATCTCACTCCCGATTATAAAATCAATACTCAAATTATCAACTTGATTTGATCAGGTTTCTTTTTCAGCCAAGTTCTTCTAAATTTTTATTGGTAATTCAAAACTTTTAATTTATAAATATCCCTATCAAGTTCTCCAAGTTTTCAATTCTCCAACAAAATTTCAAAATCTAAATATATTATAGAAAATATTGTTACCAGGTATTGTTAGTATATATATTATAGGATATATTATTAGCCATGTATAGGTTTATCATATAAGATTTAGATCTACCATATAAGATTTAAGTTTACTTACTCTCCACACATCTCGTCACCTATATAAACCCTTAGGCTCCGTTCGCTATGACGAAAGAAAATTAGATGGAATGAAGAGAACAAAGGAAGGATGAGACATCTCTCTTCTAGGGAAGATATTATGAATTTCCCTCGTTAGAAGAGAAGAAAAGAGAATAACATACCAAATTCATTCCTTCCTTCCTTACTAGAGAAGGAAAGAGAGAATTTAAAATTTAAAATTATTTTTACCATTATACCCTTCAATATTTTTTTTCTTCTGGTAAATAACCATCATCTTTTCTACTCATTTGAAAAGTACCATTAATTTCACTCTAATTTGTTGTTTGCTTTATATAGACATATATAATCATATTTCATCCTCAATAATAATAATATAAAAAAAAAAAAGCAACCCACCATCTACATACTTCTTTGATAAATATTAAACAAAAAACAAAATCTTACATTCCAAAGACCATTATCACGTAGATGGATGCCAAAACAATGATGGTAGAGGAAGCATGCATGCACGCACCTGGCCTCCCCTTATAAATTGCATAAAAATTGCGATGCCCAGTGCACAAGGCTAATAGTCTAGGGTTAATTAGATGTACGTCATCTTACCTCTGCATGCCAAGAGATTGTTCATTTCGAATCCGTAACCTTCAAATCCCATTGCGCCAAGTAATAATCTAAAATATAAGTAAAATAATATTTGTATCCATCAATTTTTAATTAGTAAGTTTTAAATTTTTTTATTTAATAAAAGTCTTGCTGATTTGCTAAAATAATTCAAATAACCTCTCTAATTAGTTATTGGCTAATCCAGTAATAATCAAAGACAATCAAAATACAAATTAATTAACCTGATTCACCTCTTTTTTTGTATCGTTACTGAAATCTCTCTCAAGAAAGGTGGAAGGCTTAATGATTTTTATTTTATTTATAAAAAATAAAAAAAAAATTTTGAGGTCCAAGAAAAAGAACATATATGGGTCCTATTGAACTTTATCTTGGTAAACGAGTCTTTTTGAGAATTTTATAAGAGTGGGGGCAGTTAATTTCTCCATAGCAGTAGCGCTTTGGAGTATGTTGTGTTAATATACGTGGTCATCAATAGAAACACAAATGCAGTAACAGTAGATGTACAGGAGCCAGTAGCCACCCCTTCAGAGTCACCAAGTAATAAAGGTATTTCGATCACCGTCAACCGTATGGCGTAAATGGATGCCAAAACGATGATGGCAGAGGAAGTACGCGCCTGTCGTCAACTGATACAAATTACTCTTATTAACATTTTGACAAAAAAGATAGGTGTGGTATGGGGTACCCTTCTCTTCATCCTCAAACACAACATGAATTCCAAAGTCCTTTAGCTTATGAGACACCTGCAAAGAGACTGAACATTCACTTCATCGCCAGCTTCCAATTGATTCCCAAAATTCCAATGGCTTAACCATACCATCTCCTTCCCGTCATCTGGAATGCACATGAATGTTGGGCTGTATGCCCACTTCAGATCCTTTGTCCAATTACTCACTTTAATCATGAAAAACTCATACCAATTTGTAACCTTCGGATTACTAGTTTGTGCATAGACAACACATACATTGAAGCCTTGGATCTTGAAATTAGGAAATGAAGGTACCTTAAAACATATTGAAGATCCCATGCTCTTCATGCTGAACCAGCCTGGAACTTCACTACCAGGGAGAAAAGTGCTGAATATACTGAATTCATACAATCCCTACAGCATCGAAATCATAGTTTTTAACTCTTACGAATGTGTGCGAGCGCGCGCGCGTGTGTGTGTGTGAGAGAGAGAGAGAGCTCACCTGAAGGGGAACTTTTCTTCGGTCGACGTTAGGTTATTGACCAACAACACTTCAATATTTCTCAGGAATTCCAAGTTGGGCAAGCCCAAACTGCTGATCAGTACTTCATAAAAGTTTCCAATGGGTTGAACAACCCTTGAACCTCAGTTAGTTTGTCACAGTCAGTTATATACAAATACAGTGAATCCAACAGGTTTGGTAGATTTGTTATCATTTCCAATGACCTGCATTCGAATAAATCCAAACTCCTTAAACTCATTGGAAGCTCCGGAAGTAACTGAAGTGTTGTGCAGTTGTCTAGAGAGAGTGACCGGAGCATAGTGAGAAACTTCACACTCTCTGGTAGTATACAGATCGGATTGTTCCTTAGATCCAACCTCTGCAACAGGGATAGGCTGCCAATATCCTTTGGAATAGCACCATCTGATAGGTTGCAGCCAGCAAGACCCAAGACTGATAATGAGCGTGGTAAAGAACACAATGAAAAGCTGATTGATTCTGGACTTCTTCTTGGTCCCAATAGCCAATCCCGGAAGTATGAAGGCCATGATCTTACCCCAGTAGTCATGGAGGGTGATTGATTTATGCCAATCCCGTCTGCAAGAAGCATTTTCAAAGACTCCATCTGGCCCAGCTCTGTAGGAAACTTCTCGAGCTTTAAACAACGAGATAGAATGAGTATTTCAAGAGATTTTAGCTGGCCAATTTTCAATGGAAGTTTCCGAAGATATTTGCAACCTTTTAGATTCAACAGAACTAGTCTCTCTAATTCCCCAATTGATCCATGAATCTCAATCAAATTTATACAATTTTTAAGAATTCATCTTTCAAGATTGGGGACTTGTGACAAGTCAGGTGTATTGGTAAGACCATGGGAATAACTCAGATCGAGGATTTTCAACGATGTGAGCAAAAAGTAAAAAAAATATTAGTATAACAAACTTGACAATCTAAGCATTTTACCAATGCACCACGCAATGGCCCATTTAGAAATTAGTTTATAAGAATATTAATATTAATCACCAAAGGAAAATAGTTTGTATCAAACCTTGTTTCCATTCCAAGCTTGTTTCAAGCTGCTATTGCGCATGTCAAGGGCAACCAGACTCTCCAGATGAAGGCCACTGGGTATAGAATCTAAAGGGAACCCATGCCAACACAACCATCTTAACTTCCTAGGGAATTCTTCATAGTCTCCTCTGAGCCTTGCATTATTTAGCTGGAGTAGTCTTAATCTAGGCATCCTTGAAAATGCATCAATGTGCAGATCTACTTCATTTGATGTGGAATGCGATCTTGTTGAGGCAGAATTTATGGGGAGCCAAGAGAAGAAGCCTAGACGCTACCGCTTCAATGAATTGTTTTTCGAAAGCAATGTTGATTTGTCAAGAAAATCTTCTAAAGAATGCCTTTTTGCATTATTTAAACCAAAGAATTTCTTGGTGGACCTATGTTCCTCAGACACATGCATGTTGAGGATGAGGCCTTCAATGGAATCTGTTCCCTGATTAGAGGACTCGAAAAGTTAGTACAACAACTCAAAAAACATTTACAGATACACATCTTGAGAAGCATATATCTTTGAAAAAAGAAGAAGAAGCATATATCTTACAGTTCTTTCATTTAACACATCAAAGGCGTCCTTATGATGCCACAATCTGCTACGTTTCCCTGGTTCCTTGGTTGATTCTTGGCGTATGATTTCTCTCCCCATGTCCTGAAGCATCTGATGCATTGTCAGCTTATTATTTCTATCAACAGTTATGAGACATCTATCAATGAGATTTTGAATCCCAACTTTTGTGTAGAAACCACACCCATCTAGTATTGTAATTGTGAATTCTTTATCCTTTCTAACAAAGAAACAAGCAATATCGAGGAATAAATTTCTGTCATGGTCATCTTGTAAAGAATCAAAGCTTATTTTTAGTTTCTTTAGGATCTGACTGTCAGGAATAGCTTCCAATTTTTTTTAATGCGCTTTCCCACACGTCTACATGTCTGCCACAGAGAGAAGAACCCAACACTTGAAGAGCTAAAGGAAGCCCTCTGCAGTAGTGTACGACCCTTTTTGAGTGCTCCAAGTAAACTTCAATGGGATGGTCTTGTCCAAAGGCATGCCAACATAAGAGCTGAAACGATTCATCGTCGTTTAATTCCTTAACTTTGTATACCATACAAAGTTCATATGCCTTCACCAATTGCTCATGTCTAGTTGTTATGATAATTTTACTTCCTGGATAAAACCAATCTCGTATGATGAGTACTGCATTTAATTGGTCTGATTGATCCACATCATCAAGAACAATCAAAACTCTTTTACAGCAAATAGCATCTCTAATCTTGATGATTCCTTCATCAACACTGCTAATTTTTTCTTTTCTCCCCTTTAGAATATCTAAAAGAAGTCGATTCTGTAAACTAACCAAACCATTGGGTTGTTCAGATATTTCTCTAATATTTGCAAGAAAGCTGCTACATTCAAATGTGTCGAAGTTTAGGTTATACACTATCTTGGCAATGGTGGTCTTCCCAATTCCCCCCATTCCATAGATTGTCACTATGCCAACATCCGTCGATCCATCTTGTATCCATGAATTAATGTCTTTTACACGAGAATCTATTTCAATTGGGTATGGACCAACACTCAAGACCGTGCGTTTCAACTTGTTCCCCATCTCTTCAACAATTTTTTGAATAAAACGTGACTCTTGCCTACAAAATGCAATGAAAATGGATAAATTACATTCAAAAAGTCATCTATTAAAATGAAACAACAAATGATGATTATGAAAATAAAATAAAACAAATTACACGGTGTTCAATTTTGGCCATCATGACTCATATACAAGCATAGAGACTGCTGAATATAATGATAATCTAGAATTGACAGAATTATGTAGGTTATACTCTCTTAAAATATATGAAAGAAGGAATAGAAGAAAAAAGATAAAAATGTTCACAAAATTCAGACTCCAATTCAAATAACCAAGTTCATGAAAAGGTACTCCTGTTGTTCACAATCCTAATGATATTTCCTTTCTTTAAAATTCATCTACTTATTTCCAGAATTTTTGCAACTACTAACTTTATTCTTTTGAAGTGATTTTATGTGATTTTAAACAACTTAAAGTTTAAGTTACTGAAGCACTTTTATCTCGAACCCAGTTATGCTTCTTTGTATCTTAATTCAAGAGATGTTTGTAATTTATTTTATATGGTACTGTGGCCTTCACATGCCTTGAGTTGTAAATAAAAATAATTAAACATTTTCGTTTTCCCTTTCATGTTCGATCCATCCTTTCTTTTTCCTTCTTTTCCATGCCTTCCAAATAGAAATATTATTATGATCAAATCTCTATATCAGTGGTATAATACATTTGCTCATATAATAAGCTTCTAGACTCAACATCCAGTATTTGGAAACCACTATACCACAAATAATGAAATAGGACAGTGATATAACATCGCATTTATATATATAATACACGCATATTAAATAGCAAGCCTTTTGCATCTACTTGAAGTCAAGCTTTCATATTTTATCAATACTTTGGCTAAAAGTATATATATAAATTCTAAAAAAAATTGTTAAATGATATACAGATAGTATTAATAATGTTTCAATATATTTCGACTAGTCTAAAACATTACCATTAAGAAAGAATGTTGATAGTGAGTAAAATTAGCATATATTGGCATGAATAAATTGAAAGTATTCAATCAACACTATTAACTCTTCAAGAAAAATTACCCATCTATTATAACCATTCCTGCCAAATCTGCATCTTCTCTCAGAGCCGCCCTCCACCTCTTTATATTGTCCAACCCCGCCTCTTTTCTTTCTTCTGTCTTTGCCTCAAATCGCTCTTCGTGTCTAGCAAATGCTTCTGCAAAACTCCCTGTCTGCGTTCTTACATGGGATGGATCCACATAATAGAAGATGGGCAGAATCATATGACCAACAGTCTTCTTGTGCTCAAGGATATTTAAAAGCTCATCAAGACACCATCTTGAAGATGCATAGTCTTTTGAGAAGACTATTATTGAAATCCTCGACTTTTGGATTGCCTTATTTAGTTCTATGGCAATATTTTGTCCTTTATCCAGTCGATCATCATCCCTAAATGTGTGTATTCCTGCATGTAGTAGAGCTGTATAAAGGTGATCGGTAAAAGTATTCCGGGTGTCTCCACCTCTGAAACTCAAGAACACGTGATAAGAGCATCGACTTGAGGAGGCTTCTTGGGCTCCCATAGCAACCATTGAACAATGCTCTAAGAAATCAATGAACAGGGGATATATGTAATCTGTCAGGCACAACCAGTATTTGTGTAGTGTAAATAAAATAATAAACCAACAATATTATATTCTCAAATAAGTGAAGTCAATTAAAATCCCATATGCGAACCATAGTACATAAGGAAAATGCTAAAGGATATGCTTTAATGAATTACACACGTAACAGAAAATCCAGACACAAAATGTTGCAAAGTGGCTTCACAAAGGTTTTAGCAAAATTCAACTCTACCAAATTTCATCTCAATTATTTGTTGTATGCTACATGAATCCCATTTCACCATTTTCTTTTTATAGGGTTAATTATAACTTCATTTAAACTACATGAACTCATGTTAGTTTTGTCTTCTTATGACCTTTTTATCTCTTAACTGACAAACATTCTCTCCCATAAAACATGACTAGGTAATAACTGTTATGTTGTGTTTGGGAGCACCAAATCGGCGCCTATTCAGTACTCCCAAACTTAGCTACAAAATTTCCTTTCAACTTTATAGACTCTGTTGATCACATAGTACACCATAAGCACTCTTCAACTTAACCAACATCATCTTCAATCTTCCCACCTATTAAAGAATTGAGCCTAGGTAATACAAATTCTTTTGGTATTTCTCGAGACCTTCGATCTTTATTACATCTCCATATATATATTTTCAGTTTTACTAAATTTATATATTCAATTTTAATCATACATATTTGCATTCAATATTTTAAATTTATGCATGGTTAATTCACTAAAACTTTTAGAACAATTTGGATACTTGATCTGACAGTCTTATTTTTATTTTTATTTTTTCGGTAAGTATCTAACAGTCTTATTCAACATGGATCAACCATTAAGAACATAGAAACCAAACCCAGTGGCTAGTTTTATTCAAGTTACACGTCTATATGTAGTTTCAGCTTCTTCTTTTTCATGGATACATACAAATACAACAAAAAATTAAACAGAAACAGAAAACAAAAATTGATTAATGATACATGTAATAAACTAGAAATATTGAGCAATGGGTGTTTAATTGTAAAAGGGCTAGTAATTTGCAAAATACCCCAAGAAATGGACTCATCACTCCACTACAAGATTGAATTTGTAAAAGGGTTACCTGTAATTAGCAAAATATACGGCCGGCCCTGAGATTGAAAAAATTTCTAGAGGCCCTAGGCGAACTTTAATGTGAGGCCCTTTATACATAAAGTTTCACATGCACAAAAATAAATGTCTATTTTTTGAATCCGTAGGAAAATTTTCAAATTTAGCATCTGTTGGAGGACCTCTTTCAACTAATAAATCTCTCATTTTTTTTATCAATATTTTTCCAATTTCCTGGATCATTAATGTTCAAAGGAAGACTATCATTCTCATTCGTATATTCTTCATTTACCAAATCTTCAAGTTCATTCACATTTTCTTCGTTTTGATTCTCATTCGTATCTTCATTCATTAAATCTCCATGTTCATTAAGATTTTCTTAATTCCTATGTTCTTCATTCACCAAATCTTCAACTAAACTCTTTATTTGTGTATTGTCCCTAAAAAGCTTATGAATAGCGTCTTTTTGAGATTGAATTAATTTTTCTTCTCTCTTCTTTTTTTTTTTTCTTTTTTCATGCCCAGATTCAAATTTTCTTGTAGACATAAATGACAAAAAAGAAAAAAAAAAAAACAGAAATAGAAGTTATAGAATTAAAATATATATATATATATATTTGTTTTGCTGAAATAAAATGTAGATTACCTCAAAATGCAATGAATATGACACTATAATACCTTTTACTGTAATCAGCTTCTTCACACGAACACTCAAATCGAGCACCTCCAAGTTGCTCAAAGCACAAAAGTCTACAAAAAATGAAAATTTTGTTGTTTACATATTAATAAATTTTGTTACTTTATATTGTACTTTGTTTCCTATACAATTGGGTGCCCATATTAATTGACAGATTTATGCTTTATGCGGTTAACATCCAATTTGCTATTAGCATGAAAAAAAAAAAATGAATAATATATATATATTGAATAAGTGAAGAAATGACTTACCAGTCTGAAGTGATGAAAGCACAGTAAAAGATGGTAGGACCGTAGGATGCTGTAATTGTAAAAATTATAATCCACTGGCCTTCAGCTTGTTCAAGACTCAAGTTGAACCCAAATTTACCAATTAGTCTTTCAAATCCTGCAAAGGGAGATCCTGTTTCAGTCATTATCTTCACTTTTGTTTGATAAGTCAGTCATTATCTTCACTTTATAACTAAAATTCATACAATATAAAAAAATTATATAAAAAAGATCATAAAAAATTTCACCAAATAGGATTTAGTTTGCAAAACAAGAATTACAGACCTTGATTAATTGATTTAGAAAAAAAACAATTAAAACAAAACCCATACATACAAGTTAGCAGTTGCAGAGAGAGAGAGGGGGGCAAGCTTGAGAGTTGAGAGACAGCGGGTGAAGCTTGCGAACTGCGAACCCTAACTGGAACAGCGGGCGATGGAAACTGAAAGATATGGGTTTTGATTTTTTGAACAATCTGAAATGATATGGCGATATGGGTTTTGGAATTTTGATTAACTGAAGTATATGGGTTTTGAACTTCTGATTCTTGTAGATTTTGTAGTTTGCAATTGCGAAGACAGAGAGAGGGCAAGTTTGGAGTTGAGAACGATGGAGGCGATTGGGGAGGCTGAAATGATTTGCCCTAAATTTCTGTTTTTTCTTACTGGTGGCCCATCATCCATGGGCCTATAAATTTTGAGGCCCCATAAATTTTAAGGCCCTAGTGGAGCCTTGGGTCAGGGCCGACCCTAAATTGCCCCAAGAAATGGATTGATCACTCCACCAAGAGATATAATTTGTTCCGGTCAGTGCTGAAGAGAGAAGAGAGAAGCAAAAATGAGGAGTGAGAAAAAGAGAAGGAGAAGTGTCCAATGGGGGAGGAAAGGATAAGGAAAGAACCATTGGTGGGATCCACAGAGGAGGCTAACCTGCAAGTGAGCAACTCTACCTCAGTGAGGAATTTTGTCCAATACATCAATTGGTGGACCTCATTCATAATGAGCTCGGGTTGAAACTGTAGAATCTAACTTTTTTTATTAAGTTCTCATTATCAAGTGTTCTAAGAAAGAGTTTTACCTGTAATTGGCATAGGAGAGGAGAGGAGAGGACAGGAGAGAAAGAGTATTACTTGAGAAAGAAAATAAGAAAAGGAAGGTAAAGTAAAGTAAAGTAAAGTCAAATAAATGATACCAATAATTTACATTTATGTTTGGATAGATGGAAAAGGAAAAAGATAATGTGAGTATTCTGAATAAAATGGAAGAGATAAAAGAAAAGATTGAACAATGATCAAATAACTATAATACTCTTTATCTAAGATTTTGGAGGTGGTTCAATGTTATAATTTTGGAGGCTAATTTTTGCATTATGAAAGTATCACTAATCCACTTTCTTTTCCCTCTAAATTTTCTCATTTTTATACAATGTAAGGGATTTGGAGGGATAGCCAATCCTTTCTTTTCTCCTCAAATCCTTCCATCCAAACATAACATTTTTTATCCTTTCTTTTTTCTTTTCTTTTCTTTTCTTATCCCCCAAATAGATTCCTGAGCCAGTGTTTTCAAAAAAATATTCTGATTCTATGTGGATAGCTTTTTAATGCTACAATTTTTTTTTTCTTTTATGATACATAAAATAATTGAATATGCCTGATAGTAAACATTACTTATTATTTTCCTTTATTTTAAATTTGAATTGATGAGAATTATTTGTTTATTCTTAATAAATCACAGAACTTGTTGGTTTCTCTTTATTTTGATTAAGTTTAACCAAATTGAAGTGTCTATTTTGATGGAGTCGATGGACTAATGTGATTTTATGTTCACTAATTGCAGAGAAAGGAAAGGAGCAAAAAGGGAGGAGTGATAAAGAGAGAAGGGAAAGAGCCAAATGATAAAAGGGCTGGAGGGGAAAGGAAAGAACCATTGGCTGAATCCACTGAGGAAGCTTTCCTGCAACTGAATAGTTTGTGAACCCCGAGTTAATGACTTTGGTTGAATTTGCGCTTTAGAGTCTATATTAAAAAAAATTATTTTCTATGTCACCTCAAATGTTCAATGGATAGCTATTTAATGCTACAAACACTTTCTTTTCTTTACATTATTTTTTTTTTTTTATCTAGAACAGTGAGAGTTAATTGTTATTTATGATAAATCACAAAATGAAGCATTTTCTATTTATTTTGAACAAATTTGACAAAATTGAAGTGTCAATTTTGATATGCTACATGCTAGTATGATTGTATTTTAAAGTATATTATTATTATTTTTGTAAGATTATTAAGAAGTGCAAGGTGATGATGTGATGTCTTTCAGGATTTCTTATCCTTTAAATTTATTTATTTATTATTATTTTTTTTTAAGGCGTCTTCTAATAGCTAGGATTTTTTTCATGTACGTTGTGGGGGTGGATTTCTTTTGTGGTTTATTCATGATCATTCATTTTGTGTGTGTAATACATGTCAATGAATACAAAAGAAAATTAAGATTTTTAACAAATTGAATCTATCATGAATGCGCTTATTGTGATATAAACACGTTTCCTCGATTGTACAATCCAGAGTTCAAGATACGAATTCATGGTGAGATATTTTGATGGACTATTTAAGATTTTTTTAAGTACGTCCATATAAGACTCGATAGAGTTATTACGATATTAATAAAGTTGTCTCCATTTATAATTGGATCTTTTTTCGGTCCCAAATTTGTCGGAATTTAATCCACCCAAACGAAGAAATAAATAATAATATTTAACTTTTACTGTGAATGAGTAAAGGTGAAATTTACTAATTTAGGATCTATTTGGTTTGTAATTTTGAAAACAGTTCTCAGAAGGATAGGAAATATAAAACTATTTTTAAAGAACTATAAATGGAAAGTTCCTTAAAAATAGATCGTTTTATACTGAATTTTTAAAAAACTGAACCAAACATAATTTTTGTTCAATTTTTTAATTATGATCACACAATACACCATAAACATTCTTCAACTTAACCAACATCATCTTTAGTCTTCCCACAAATTAAAGAATTGAGGCTAGGTGAAAATTTTATTTTGGATACTTATGCATGGCTAATTTCTGTTATCTTAAACCTTGAGAACAAATTGGATATACTAAGACATCAACATGGAAGGGTCTAAGAACATAGAAACCAAACCCAGTGGCTAATTTTATTTAGCTTACATTTTTATATCTAATTTCAGCTTCTTCTTATTTTTTCATGGATACATACAAATTAAAGATGCAAATAAATAAATAAATATATTATATTATATTATATTATATTCCAAAGGTATGGAGTTTAAAAGCTTGTAAGATTTGTTATATAGATAGATACAGGTCAAATTGGGACAGGTCATGTTTGGAAATGAGTCCGTGTATTGTACCAACTCTGACCCAACTAAAAAATATATTACACATTGTTTGGCTGCTTTCATAACTCCAAGCAAATGAACAAGTCAGGCCTTTGTCCATATATGCTGAGCCCATAGCCCACTTAGCAACCTGATAAACCTAGACAAACAGAGGCGGTGGGGATTAGAACTGTGTGTTGGTTAGTTTGAGAAGAAGGAAAGGAATGGAGAACAGAAATGAGATGAAGAAAAGCATGTGGCTCAGAAAGGTGGAAATAAAGAAAATAGAGAAGAAGAACAGTAATCAGGAGTAAGTCCTGTGTACGGGCAAGAAAGATGAAGAAGAAAAAGGGTTGTTAGGTCGGAAAGGGGTTGGTGGGACTTGGAGGTTGATCAACTAGGGTTGGATGAGCTTGATGATTACAGAATTGCATTGGAAGGGTTCAGGAAGAATGTTCTGGCTCGGGCTGATGAGATGGCGGCGGCGAGGGCTTGTTCATCTGATGAGATGTCCATTGCAGCGGCAGCGGCGAGTTCTTGTTCATCCGATGCGGCGGTGAGTGCCTGTTCATCCGATGCGGTGGTGAGTGCTTGTTCATATGTTGATTTTTTAGGACTGTTTTAGAATTTGACTTCACGGAGGGTTTTGAGTTGATTAATGATTAGGGTTTTTTTTGATTTGGGCAGGCTGATTTTGATATATAAATTGAATTGTATAAATTGATTTTGTATAAATTGATTTTGACATTGAATTGTATAGAGACAGTTTAATATGTTAATTTCTGAAAAACCAACTTTCTCTCATCTTTTCACTATTCCTTTATGTAATTGTAATCTCTCTGTATATGTGTATGTATATGTATATATGTATCTGATAATCTGTGAATGGGTTTTTGATTCGGTGATAGGGTTTTGGTGTGGAGGGCTCAGCAAGGGAAGTGCCAACTGGACCTGACCCTCTTCACCACCACGACAGTCCTTCCAGACCTTGATGGATCATCACCACCTCTCTGTGTGTCTGTGTGTGTTACATGTCTTTAATTTGACTGCTTAATTAATGGGGGTTTATATCATTTTCATTAGTTGTTTCACCTTTTTATTTATACATATTCTGTTATTGTACTAACTATATATATTGACTGCCATATATATCAATATATGGATTTGATTTTGTTGATTTTTAATTGAATTCTGTAATTCATTTGTCATAATTTGATTTGGTCATCACATCTCCAAGAAACACACACCACTGGTGTTGAAAATGCAAAGATGTGGAAAATTAACAGATAGACAAGAAAGTAACAGCACTGTTTTTGTTTGTAATTTACTGATAGAAGTAAGCATTTACAGAAAAGCTAGTTCTATGGTATATGATCATCTGTGTAACTGTGTTATTAATATTTTCACAAGAAGGATGGGTGTGGTATTGGCTACCCTTCTTCTCTTTCCCAAACACAACATTGACTCCAAATTCCTTTAGCTTAAAACTCCGACAGCTTCCATTAACTAGGATTCATCGGAAAAACACTGAAACATTCACTTCATCGCCAGTTTCCATTAATTGATTCACAAAATCCAAATGGCTTAACCATACCATCTCATTCCCGTCTTCTGGAACGCCCATGAATGCTGGGCTGTATGTATATCCATCCGCTTCAGATCCTTCGTTCTATTACTCACTTTAATCACGCATAAGTTATACCACTAAGCATTGATCGAATTATGTCTAACAGAATGTGCATAGACAACACATGCATTCAAGCCTTGGATCTTGAAATTAGGAAATGAAGGTACCTTAAAACATATTGAAGATCCCATGCTCTTCATGCTGAACCAGCCTGGAACTTCACTACCAGGGAGAAATGTGCTAAATATACCCAGTTCATAGAGTCCCTACATCATTAAAATCATAATTTTTTACTCTTACCGATATGAGAGAGACAGAGAGAGAACTCACCTGATGGGGAACTTTGCTTTCAGTTAACGCCATGTTATACAAAAAAGACACTTCAATATTTCTCAGGAATTCCAAGTTGGACAAGCCCAAATTGCCGATCATTGCTTCATCAAAGTTTCCAGTGGCTTCTAACTTGAACATTCTCTGAACCTCTGTTAGTTTCTCACAATTAACTGTCAATAAAAACAGCGAATTCAACAGGTTTGGTAGATTTGTTATCATTTCTAACGACCTTAAACTCATTTGAAGCTCCGGAAGTAACTGGAGTTTTGGGCAGTTGTTTAGATTGAGTCTGTGGAGCATAGTGAGACCCTTATAAATTAAAAAATACAGTGATTTTCTCTTTATTTGGATTAAATTTGACAAAATTGAAGTGTCAGTTTTGGCCCGCTCATGTGATTTATGTTTAAGGTATTTTTATTCCTTTTTGAATTATTATTTCTCTACTTTTCATATCTTGTTTGAATTATTATTTCTCAAATAGTATTTTTTTCAGTAAAAGAATTTGTTGCCCAAAAAATAAATATATTATTATACAAAGCAAATGCAAAACGTATGTAACGAGTATATCTTTTTTTTTTTTTTTTTTTTTTTTTGGCAAATGTAACAAATTCATAAAGGATTTTGTGGCTTGTTGATTAATTAACAGTGAAAGAGAGTTAGACGGTGACACATTTATTGTTGATTTCAATAGGTTTGGTGTACTTCTCATACCACTTCCGGTTACCTGCACCAAGCTCAATCCAAGTCCCGGCCATAGACTCATTGGAAGTTCTTAAGTAATTGGAGGCTTGTGCAATGCTCTATTACTAAGTGATTGCAGCTCAGAGACGGTGATCTAAAGTAACTTCTTGAGCTTTAGATAGCCAGCAAGAAACAAGAAACAAGAAAAATGAAAAATGACATGTCAATCGGCAAGTGAATGCACACATCCGAAATTTACTTTACAATAAGTGTATCCGAAGTGATTGCACACATCCGAAGTTTACTTTATAGTCCAAGTGTATCCGAATGTCACCAGCTTAGAAGGTTACTCATAACATAAAAAATAAAAGAGGTACTTGTAGGAAGCTTTTAACAACTTTTACTATTCGAAAAACAACTCTTTAATTCTCTAATGACTCATGAACATTAATCAAATTTATGCTGGAGGTAAGCCATTTTGCGCACCTGAATTCTGCCGTTAATATCAACCAGTTGGCTCAGGCCATTAACCTCGGGCATTCACTTCAGCTTAGAGTGTAAAGCAAGAAATCTACGTTATTAACATTTTGACAAGGAGTGCTTTGGAGTATGTATTTGTATATTAAAGGTCACTGTGAATCAAAAAAAAAATTGATATAGAGGTGTTACTGTCTGGTCATCCTCAGCAATCATCATTGCTGCTCCTCCACATCGCCAGATAAGAAGTTATACAAAGTAGTCCAATCATAATTGCTGTCATCCGGAAAGCTTCGATGGAGGTGATAATTATAATGACAAAGGAAGTACAAACCTGTCCTCACCTGATACACCGACAAATCTACGTTATTAACATTTTGACAAAAAGGATAGGTGAGGTATGGGGTACCCTTCTGTTCTTCCCCAATCACAACATGGATTCCAAACTCCTTTAGCTTAAGGTTCACTTCATCTTCCTCAAAAAGCACTGAAACATTCACTTCATCGCCAGCTTCCATGAATTGATTCACAAAATTCCAATGGCTTAACCATACCATCTCCTTCAGGTCATCTGAAATGCCCATGAATGTTGGGCTGTATATCCACTTCAGATCCTTTGTCCTATTACTCACTTCAATCATGCAACACTCGGTCCAATGAGCATTTCTCCAATAAACATTTCTTGAATTACCAGAATGTCCATCAATTTGTGCATAGACAACACATACATTCAAGCCTTGGATCTTGATATTAGGAAATGAAGGTACCTTGAAACATATTGAAGATCCCATGCACTTTATGCTGAAGCAGCCTGGAACTTCACTACCAGGGAGAAAAGTGCTAAATATACCCAATTCATACAGTCCCTACAACATGAAAATCATCATTTTTAACTCTTACCGATATGTGTGTGTGTGAGAGAGAGAGAGACAGAGAGAGAGAGCTCACCTGGAGGGGACCTTTTATTTTAGTTCTAGTCATGTTATTCCACAGAGACACTTCAATATTTCTCAGGAATTCCATGTCGGACAAGCCCAAATTGCTGATCATTACTTCATCAAAGTTTCCAATGGGTTCTAACTTGAACAACCCCCGAACCTCAGTTAGATTGTCAGAGTAATTCATCAACAAATGCAGTGAACCCAACAGGTTTGGTAGATTTGTTATTGTTTCCAGTGACCTGCATCTTAATAAATACAATTCCCTTAAACTCATTGGAAGCTCCGGAAGAAACTGGAGTTTTGTGCACTTCTCTAGATCAAGAACCTCCAGCAGAGTGAGACACTTGATGCTCTCTGGAAGGCTACAGATTGGATTTTCACTTAGATCCAAGTCCTGCAACAGGGATAGGCTGCCAAGATCATTTGGAATAGCATCATTTGATAGGTTGCAGCCAACAAGACTCAAGCTTGATAATAAGCGTGGTAAAGAATACAATGAAAAGCTGATAGATTCTGGACTTCTTCTTGGTCCCAAAAGCCAATCCCGGAAGTGTGAAGGCCATGATCTAACCGCAGTAGTCATGGAGGGTGATTGACTTATGGCAACCCCATCAGCATGGAGTATTTTCAAAGATTCCATCTTGCTTAGCTCCGTAGGCAACTTCTCGAGCTTTAAACAACCAGAGAGAATGAGTATTTCAAGAGATTTTAGCTGGCCAATTTTCAATGGAAGCTTCCCAAGATTTTCACAACCTTTTAGATTCAAAAGAACTAGTCGCCCTAATTCCCCGATTGATTCATGAATCTCAATCAAATTTTTGCAATTTTTAAGAATCAATTTTTCAAGATTGGGGACTTGTGAGAAGTCAGGAGTATTGGTAAGACCATGGGAATGACTGAGATTGAGGATTTTCAACGATCTGAGTAACTGTATAAAAAAGTAGAAAATATTAGCATAACACACTTGACAACCAAAGCATTTTACCAAGGCACCACGCAATAGCCCATTTAGAAATTAATTTTATATGAATATAAATATCAATCACAAACGAAAAGAAAAATAGGAAAATAGTTTGTATCAGACCTTGTATCCAGTCCAAGCTTGTTTCAAGTTGCTATTGCGCATGTCAAGGGCAACCACACACTCCAGATGAAGGCCACTGGGTATAGATTCTAAAGGGAACCCACGCCAACACAACCATCTTAACTTACTAGGGAATTCTTCATAGTCTCCTCTAACCCTTGCATTATTCAGCTGCAGTAGTCTTAACCTCTGCATCCTTGAAAATGCATCAATTTGAAAATCTACTTCATTTGATATGGAATGCGATCTAATTGAGGAGAGCCCAGAGAAGAAGCCTAGACGACGCCGCTTCAATGAATTGTTTTCGGAAAGTAATGTAGGTTTGTCAAGAAAATCCTCTGAATGGTGTCTTTTTGCATTATTTAAACCAAAGAATTTCTCAATGGACCTATCTTCCTTAGACGCATTCAAGTTGAGGATGAGGCCTTCAATGGAATCTGTTCCCTGATAAGAGAACTTAAAAAGTAAGCACGCCAACTAAAAAATATACAAATAGACATCACGAGAAGCATATTTCTTACAGTTTTGTCATTTAATATGCTAAAGGCGTCCTTGTGATGCCACAATCTGCTGCGTTTCCCAGGCTCCTTGGGTGATTCTTGGCGTATGATTTCTCTCCCCATGTCCCGAAGCAACTGATGCATTGTCAGCTTGTTATATTCATCGATAGTTATGAGACATCTATCAATGAGATTGTGAATCCCAACTTTTGTGTAGAAACCACACTCATCTAGTATTGCAATTGTGAATTCTTTATCCTTTCTAACAAAGAAACAAGAAATGTCGAGGAATAAATTTCTCTCGTGGTCATCTTGTAAGGAATCAAAACTTATTTTAAGTTTTTTTAGGATCTGACTGTCAGGAATAACTTCCAATTTCTTTAATGTACCTTCCCACACATCTACAGGTCTGCCAGATAGAGAAGAACCCAACACTTGAAGAGCTAAAGGAAGCCCTCCACAGTAGCGTACAATCCTTTTTGAGTACTCCAAGTAAACTTCAATGGGATGGTCTTGTCCAAAGGCATGCCAACAGAAGAGCTGAAATGATTCATTCTCGTTTAGTTCCTTAACTTTGTGCATCTTATACCGTTCATGTGCCTTGAGTAGTTGCTCATGTCTAGTGGTTATGACAATTTTACTTCCTGGATAAAACCAATCTCGCATAATGAGTACTGCATTTAATTGGTCTAATTGATCTACATCATCAAGAACAACTAAAACTCTTTTACAGCAAAGAGCATCTCTAATCTTAATGATTCCTTCATCAACACAGCTAATTTTTTCTTTTCTCCCCTTTACAATATCTGAAAGAAGTCGTTTCTGTAAACTAACCAAACCATTGGGCTGTTCTGATATTTCTCTAATATTTGCAAGGAAGCTGCTACCTTCAAATCTGTCGAAGTTTAGGTTGTACACAGTTTTGGCAATGGTGGTCTTCCCAATTCCCCCCATTCCACAGATTGTCACTATGCCAACATCCGTTGATCCATCTTGTACCCACGAATTAATGTCTTTTACACGAGAATCTATTCCAATTGGGTATGGACCAACACTCAAAACTGTGCGATTCAACTTATTTCCAATCTCTCCAACAATTTTTTGAATAAAACGTGACTCTTGCCTGCAAAATGCAATGGAAATGGATAAAGTGCTATTTAAACGTCATCTATTATAATGAAACAACAAGTGATGATTATGAATATAAAATAAAACAAATTACATGGTGTTCAATTTTTGGCCATTACGACTCATATACAAGCATATAGACTGCTATATATTATGATAATCTCGAATTGACAGAATTACATAGGTTATACTATGTTAATGATATATAAGAGGAGGAGGAAGATAAGAAAAAAGATAAGAATGTTCAAAAAATTCATACTCCAATTGAAATAACCAAGTTCATGAAAAGGAATTCATGTTTTTCACAATCCTAATGATATTTCCTTGTTTTAAAATTCATCTACTTATTTTCCAGAATTTTTGCAACTACTGACTGTATTCTTTTGAAGTGCTTTTATATGATTTTAAACAACTTAAAATTTGAGTTACTGAAGAACTTTTAACTCAAACCCAGCTATACTTCTTTGTATCTTAATTCAAGATATGTATATAATTTATTTTATACATATTGTGGCCTTCACACACGCCTTGAGTTGTAAATAAAAATGATTAAACATGTTGCTCGTTTTACCCTTTCATGTTCGATCCATCCTTTTTTTTCCCTTCTTTTTCATGCCATCCAACTAGAAATCTTCTTATGATCAAATCTATATATTAGTGGTATAATACATTTCACAAACTCATATAATAATTTTCTAGACTTAACATCCAGTATTTGGAAACCACTATACCACAAATTATGAAATAGGACAGTGATACAACATTGACTTTATATTACATATGCATATTGGATAGCAAGTCTTTTGCATCTACTTGAAGTCAAGCTTTCATATTTTATTAATACTTTGGCTAAAAGTATATATGTATATATATCATTTCAAAAAAAATGATAAATAATACATAGATAGTATTAATAGCGTTTCAATACATTTCGACTAGTTTAAAACATTGGCATTAAAAAATAATGTGAGAGTGGATAACATTAGCATCTAATGGAATGAATAATTTGAAAGTATAAATAAACAGTATTAACACTTTAAGAAAATTACACATCTCTTTTTTTGTTTTTTTGATAAGTAAGAAAATTACCCATCTCTTAAAACCATCCCTGCCATATCTGCAACTTCTTTCAGAGCTTCCTTCCACCTCTTTATCTTGTCCAACCCCGCCTCTTTTCTTTCTTCTGTCTCCATCTTAAATCGCTCTTCATGTATGGCAAATGCATCTGCAAAACTCCCTGTCTGCTTTCTTACATGGGACGGATCCACATGATAGAAGACTGGCAGAATCATATGACCAACAGTCTTGTTGTGCCCAAGGATATTCAAGAGCTCATCAAGACACCATCTTGAAGATGCATAGTTTTTTGAGAAGACAATTATTGAAATCCTCGACTCTTGGATTGCCTTATTTAGTTCTAGGGCGATATTTTGTCCTCTCTCCAGTGCATCATCGTCCCTAAATGTGCGTATTCCTGCATGTAGTAGAGCTGTATAAAGGTGATCAGTAAATGTATTCCGCGTGTCATCACCTCTGAAACTCAAGAATGCATGATAAGAACATCGACTTGAGGAGGCTTCTTGGGCTCCCATAGCAGCGATCAAACAACTCCCTTAGAGATCAATGAACAAGGGATATATGTAATCTGTGCAGGAACAACAAGTATTTGGGTATGGCTTCAACAAAAATAAATAAACAAACAATATTATATACTCAAATAAGCAAAGTCAATTAAATCCCATATGCGAACCATAGTACATAAGGAAAATGTTAAAGGATATGCTTCACTGAATTACACATGAGGCAATGGTTAAATGGAAACACACGTATCAAAAATCCAGACACAAAATGCTTCAAAGTGGCTTCACAAAGGATTTAGCACAACTCAACTCAACCAAATATCATCTCAATTATTTGCCGTATCTACATGACTCCCATTCCACCATTTGCTCTTTCTAGGGTTAATTATAACTTCAATAAAACTACATGAACTCGTGTTAGTTTTGTCTTCTTATGAACTCTTTATTTCTTAACTGACAAACATTCTCTCCCATAAAACATGACTAGGAACAACTGTTGTGTTTGGGAGCACCAAATTGGCTCCTATTCGTATTTGGTGCTCCCGGAATTAGCTAAAAATTTCCTTTCAACTTCAAAGACTGAGTTGATCACATAAAACACCATAATTTAGGCACTCCTCAACTTAACCAACATCATCCATCTTCAATCTTCCCACCTATTAAAGAATTGAGCCCAGGTAATAAAAACTCTTTTGGTATTTCTTGACCTCCGGTCTTTATTACATCTCCATATATATATATATTCAACTTTACTAAATTTATATATTCAGTTTTAATCTTACTTATTTTAAATTTAGTATGGTTAATTCCTACTAGCTTAAACTTCTAGAAGAAATGGGATACTTGATTTGACACACACAGACAGAAATATCAAGACATCAATATGTAGTTTCAGTTTTTTTCATGGATGCATACACTTGCAACAACAGATGAAACAGAAACAGAACATACACCATAATAAATAAAAACTGATTAATGAACATACAAAATAAACTTGAAATGTAGAGCAATGGATGTTCAATTCTAAAGGGTTACCTGTAATTAGCAAAATACCCCAAGAAATTGATTGATCACTCCACTTAAAATTTGAATTTGTTCTTGTCACTGATGAAGAGAGAGAGGGGAGAGAATAAAAAGGTCGAGTGAGAAAAAAGGGGAAGTGTCAAATAATAAAAGGGCAGAAAAAGGAAGGTAAGAAAAGAACCATTGGTGCGAGGTTATTAAAAAAAAACCAATGGTGGGATCCACAGGGAAAGTGTCCTTGTAAGCGGAACAACCAGAGTCGACTTTGATTAATCGGTCAATTTGTGACACGTGGTATGATGTCTAAGTTTACGGATTTAATGATGCCACGTGGTGTGACTCTATATTTTGAGATTTTTTATTTATTTAATTTGTCTTATTATTTTGGAACATGTGATTGTCCTAGTCATCATCATATGCCCGACTAGAGTGTTTTGTTTTTTTTTGAGTTCCACTTTAATATTTCTTTGATCTCTATGTGTGTGTGGGCGCGCGCACACACACACAGATATATATTCTTCTGAGACATGCTAGCCAGGCTGGCAATTATCAATTAACTTTATTAGTTGACCTCAATGCAGGGTAAGAATTGGAATTTTTTTTAGTGGGGATAATTTTTTATTTATCCTGTTGTTGGGGTTTATGTTGGAAAATTTTAAGAGAGAGAGAGAGAGAGAGAGTGATTGATGGATATGTTAGACGACTTTTTCTCAATGAAATATCCAAAAATCAGTTTTCAACTTGAATGACAATCACAATCTAAAAATAAAAAAGGGCCATTTAATTACGATTCTTTTATATATCTTTTGAAACTTTTAGAGTCTGTTTGGTTAGACAAAATTTTTTATAAAAAGTGAAAGTGAAAGAAAGAAAAATCAAGTTTCTATTATGCATTTGGTTAACAGAAAATATTTTGAAGAAAATTGTAAGAAAATATTATTTTATTAGTTTGGATAGCATGAAAAAGAAAAGAAAATGATTCTACTTACCGAAAATACCCTTATAATTTTAAATAGTAAAAAAATAAATAAATTTATGTTTGATAAATATTACTTATACTTAATTATTTATTTTAGTAAGGAAATAGTGAAATATGGAATAGAATAGTATGTGATATCATAATACAAATTTTTTTTTTTTCTCCTCTCTCTATATATATTCACTTATTCCTGTGTAAACTTGAATTCTAATCTTTTATTTTTTAAGATAAGAAAAATAAGTTTTTGGTAGAATGGACTATCAAAGTTCAAGTATTGATTTTCTCTTTATGTTAGTTTTAATTTTATTATTTATTATTTATTTGTAAATGATGTAACTGAATACTATATATCTAATTACAACTTTTTCACTAAGAAAATAAAGTCATAGACAGATTATGTAAATTATTTACGAATCATCAATTATTTATTTCAAAATAATGTTTGATGTTAGGTATGAAAAAAATTGTGTTAAGATAATGTAAACTAGTTTTCACCTAACACTCTTGTTATCAACAAATACTTATGTATATATATAATAATTCTTAATCATTATCAATTATAGAAAAAAATATTTTACTTATTTAAGACATTTCAAAAAAAAAAAAAAATGAAAAAAAAATAATTCAGTAATAAAAGGAAAAAGTTAATTAATTCTGAATGCACATATAAAAAAATACAAACAATTTAATTAGTAATATATGATTTTATAAGAAAGCAATTTATAGAAGAAATAAACTCTACTTTTCATAGAAATCTATGTAATTAAGTAAAGAAGAGGAGAGACAACTAACATGAGTATAATAGGAAAGTAATATATACTTATAAAAAAAAAAAAATAGGAAAGTAATATATGAAGTACACAACTTTTGCGAGAAAGTGAATTTCCCTATGTTTTTTGCACGAAAAATTTTGAGAAAAATTTTCAGATATCGGAATCCTACTTTCCCCAAAACTTTCACTTTCCCTCTAACCAAGCTTCCAAAAACTTAAAATATTTTCTTTTTCTTTTCTTTTCTGGTTCTTTGACGCTAACCAAACGGATTAAAGTTTGACGGAAAAATTTTAAATTTTTAAATGAGCAAAATAAGTATGCTAATGGTGTGCATTTTTTGAAAATAAATATAAAAATAAAATCTTGAATCTTTTATAATTGTAGTTGAATTTATGTTTATGACGATTCTTTTATATATCTTCTGGAACTTTTAAAGTTTGATGGAAAAATTTTAAATTTTTAAATGAGCAAAATAGGTATGCTAATGGTGTGCATTTTTTGAAAATAAAAATAAAAATAAAACTTTGAATCTTTTATAATTGTAGTTGAATTTATGTTTATGATGTGGTGTCAAATTAATATATAATAAATGTCACTTCCACGAAAAGAAAGAATTTGTTCTGGTCACTGCTGAAGAGAGAAGAGAGATGCAAAAATGAGGAGTGAGAAAGAAAGGTGGACCTCATTCATAATGAGCTCCAACAAAATGAAGAATTATAAAGCGGGTGTGAACTTAGAAGAGGTGGACCTCAGCATAATGTGCTCGGGTTGAAACCGTAGAATCTAACATTTTCATTAATGGATTTGGATCCTTAAATATTCTTTAATCGAAGTTTAAAAACTTTTAGAAGAAATCAGATCCTTGATTTGACACGAACAGAGACAGAAATATCAAGACATCAATATTGGCCAAACATTAAGAACGAAGAAGCCAAACCTAGTGGCTAGTTTGGATGCACACACTTACAACAACAGATGAGTCAAAAACAAAACATACAGCATAATAAAATAAAAATAAAAATTGATTAATGAACATACAAAATAAACTTGAAATGTAGAGCAATGGGTGTTCAATTGTAAAGGATTACCTGTAATTAGCAAAATACCCCAAAAGATGGATTGATCACTCCACTAAAAATTTGAATTTGTTCTTGTCACTGATGAGAGAGAGAGAGAAAGGGGGGAGAATCAAAAAGTGGAGCCAGAAAGAAGGGGAAGTATCAAATGATAAAAGCGAAGAAAAGAACCACCGGTGGAATCCACAGAGGAAGCGTGTATGTGGGCAACCTGAGTGGACTATAATTGGTCAATTTGTGACACGTGGTGTGCTACTATATTTTGGGCTATTGATTTAAATTTTCTATATTTCTTTTTTTAATTATCTTAAGGTACGATGATATATAAGTTTACGGATTAAATAATGCCACATATACTCTATTTTTATATATTTTTCTATTTATTTAAATTGTCTTATTAATTTGGAATTTGCGATTGTCCTAGTCATCGTAGGATCGACTAGATTTCTTTAATCTTTCTTTGATCTCTATGTATATAATATATTCTTATGAGACATGTTAACCTGGCAATTATTAATTAACTTCAGCAGGGTCAGAATTGAAATTGGTATTGGAATTGAAATTGGAAATGGAATTTTATTTTCGTGGGGACAATTTTTTAATTGTCGTGTTGTTGTGGCTTATGTTGGGAAATTTTAAGAGAGAGAGATTGATGGACATGTTAGACTACTCTTTTAGGACAAAGTTGTTGATTTCATTCAAATATCTAGACTCTTCCTCAATGAAATATCCAAAAATCAGTATTCAACTTGAATGACAATCTAAAAATGGGATTTCAAATGTCTTGAAAGAGAGGTGGTTTAATTACGATTCTATTTTAAATTTTCAAAGCTTTTAAAGTAGATGATGAAATTTTAAATTTCTAAAGTTCAGACCAAGGTAGGTGGGTGAATAAATTTATAGGTCTTTCACAATTAGGTTTAATTTCAATGATCATCCTTGAAGTTTGGACAAATCTCACGTGAAAATATTTTTTTAAAATTACTATCGCTCATATTACAAACGTTTGTTTTATTTTTCACTTACACTCCAATCGTTACCACGCTCTGACACCATGTAAAATAACTTAAATATCCTTTGACTTTGTCAAAAGAATTTTTTAGTGTAAATTACACTGACACCGCTTCAAATTAGGTCAAATCTCACATAAATGAGCATTTTGGTTTTAACTTTTCCTCACATTTGGAAAAGTGGATCCGTATTTCACTTACGACCCCAAATGTCAGTTTTCATGCTGTCAGAGTACTTTTAGGTGTAAAATGACTACAATACTCTTTTGACTTCTTGTTGACTTGGGAAAGGTGTTCGATTTTTTTCCTGACAAAAATACCCCCCCGAGTAATCCATTGAAGTTGTGTGCATGCAACCATAATAGTCATTCTCAACAAACCCCCAAAAACCCACCACCCCCACCCCCACCCAAGTACTTCGGGAAATAAAATAAATGTATGCATGTGCTTGAACTTACATCAGTTAGAGGGGGGCAGACAATGACAATCAAATACAAAACATGAAACTATAATTGCAGCTTGAAACAAATGGGTCACATAAAACATAATAAAAGTGAAATACAAAAAAATTGGAAATTCAAAACGAAAAGAGTTGAAGTAGTAAGAGAGAATTTTAGAAAATATCAGCATTTACCATTCAATGTCATTCAATTTAAAAATAAATCTAAGAGCTAATACTGTCAATTAATGTAATCGATAAATAAATAAATAAATCAAATCAAAATAAAAGACTATTTTACGGAGGCATCTAGCAGAAAATAATAATAATAAATCACTAAACCTAAAATTAGAACACCATTATATATGCATTTTGAATTACATGTCATTGCTATAATTTAGTTTTTTTTTTTTTTTTTTTAATTTAGTTCCTCTGTCTCTTTATATAGCAATCTCATTCATTTTGGCGTTGGAAATTGTGCTCTACATGTCTTCTTCCATTGTAAGACTGACAAATTACATTGTCACTAGATCAATAGAAGATAGACAAAGGTAAGAAGAAAAAAAAAAGGCTGTTACAAAATTATATATAATAGTAATTAACACGAACACACTTGCTCTGTTATAAAATCAATAACTTTTTTTTTTTTTCCCTAGAAAATCAATAACTAACTACAAGAGAATATGAAAATTTTAATGCTTGTTATTTTGGAGGGTAATTTACACGGACAACATTGTTCGATATTAAGCTTCGTCAGCCATCGATCATAAATCGTTGGCGGTCTTTTTCAATTACAAATACTTAAAGAAAATTGTCAACGACCCGATTTAAGATCAAGTTCTAACAACTATTGGATTCAATGGACAAAGGAGATTGAATAAGAGGATATTTTTTTTCTTTTGTAAAGAAAACCGTAGAGGATTATACCCAATTTTCATAAATTAATAAATTATTGTTTAACCAATATTTCTATATTTACATATACAAAATTTGTGTGTACAGGATACTTGATTTGACACAGAGAGAGAGAGAGAGAGAAAAAAAAAAAAAAAAAAAAAAAAAAAATCAATATGGATCAACACATTAAGATCTATATGTAGTTTATGCATATTGATTAATGATCCATGATATAAACTTGAAACAGAACATGCAAAATAAAAAGAAACAGAACATACAAACTAAACTTGAAATATCGAGAAATGAGTGTTCAAATGTAAAAGGGTTACCTGTAATTAGCAAAATACGCCAAGAAATTAATTGATCACTCCACAACAAGATTGAATTTGTGCTGGTCAATGATGAAGAGAGAGGAGAAAATAGAAAAGAGGGAGCGAGAAAGAAGGGAAAGTGTGAGGAGAAGAGAAGGAAAGAGCCATTGGTGGGATCCACATAGGAAGCTTCCCTGCAACCAACCAAACAGTGGTTTTTCAACTCAACCTGAGTGCACTTTGACTAATCTGTCAATTTGAAAGGCATATTCCTATATGCTCATCAGTGGTTTCTCTTTTAAACCGAGTTAACGAGATTGAGAATGAGTCTGGGTTGAAAGTTGAAACTCTACAATCTAAATTTTGTATATTAAATTTTCTTTATTTATTTCGCCGTATTTAATGCTACAAACTCTTTGTGTAATTACAAAGTTATTTGTTTATTCATAATAAGTCAAAGAACTTAGTGGGCTTATTTTTATTTTTATTAAATTTGATCAAATTGAAGTGACAACCGGCTAACGTGATTTTAGGTTAAGGTATTTTTATTGTTTATTTTTTATTTTTTGCCTTTTTCTTTTTAAGGCCATTAAGATAAGAAGGGCACTGTAATGATGATGTGATCTCTCTCCGGACTTCCCTTTCATTGTTTTTCCTTTTCAATTTATTTGTTTATTTTATTTATATTTATTTCCTTTTTTTTTTTTTTAATTTCATATAAATTTTATTGACTAGAAGCGTTGTCTCACTCTTTGCCTTTGCAACTTTGCAACTGCTGTCACCGGGCTTGCACACTTTTACTATTGTGCTGCAAGGATGTAAGGGTGCACTTCCTGTTTGTTTTTTTTGAACTCTAAAATATATGAATGGACCCTTTTATTGTTAATTTTTTAATACAATTTAATACTAAAAAATTTATATAATGCTAAGAAAACAAAACTATCAACTGCATCTAAAACACACAAAATGACACCATACACCCAACACCCCTCTTCGCCGCCGACCGTCTCTCCTCGTTGCCGCTCTTTGCAAATTGTCTTCTGTTGTCGAGAATCGATAGAGAGATCACCACCACCGATCGCCTAACACCTCCACCTCCACCGCCCCCACCCAACACCTCCATCACCACCACCCATCACCCAACACCTCCACCGCCCAACTCACCACCGCCCCCACCCAACACCTCTATCACTATCAGAGACTTTAGGCAAACAGAGGCGAAAGCAGCAGCAAACTCATGCTTGAAAGCAGAAAACGGACCCAATCTATATAAATCATGTGTTCTACATACACATAGGGGTCTAATACCTTGTCATGTATCATCAGACATTTAAATCAATTAATCAAGTTTCTTTAGATTATATGGATGTCGATAAACATAAGGAAATACCGGGTTAGGCCAGAACATTAAAATGAAGAAGTGTTGGGAACTTTGGTGAGGTCACGAATTAACTTCTCGTTCTCTCACTAGTTCCTCTCACCTAGGGCTGCAAGTTGGGCGTGCTAACCCAGCTCAGCCCAGCCCCAACCCCAACCAAGAAATTTTGAAATTTGGACACACAATTCACAAATCGAGTTGATACTCGGGTTGGGTTTTGTCAAAACCCAGACAATTCGGGTTGGGCTCGGGCTCAACCCGAACCCAACCCAAAACCCATAATTAAAAAAAAATAAAAAAAATTCTTTTCTCTCTCATCTCTCCTCTCTCTCTCTTCTTTCTCTCTCTCCTCTCTCTTCTTTCTCTTCTCTCTCCTCCCGAATTTTTTTTTCCTCTCTCCTCTCTCTTCTTTCTCTGTCTCTTTCTCTTTCTCTTTCTTCTTTCTCTTCCTCTCTTTGCCCGAATTTTTTTTTTTTTTTCTCTCTCTTTTCTTCTTTCTCTTTCTCTCTCTGCCGCCGTCCGCCGCCGCCGCCGTCACTTCCAAAAACAAAACCCATACATACAAGGTAGCAGTTGCAGAGAGAGAGGGGGGCAAGCTTGAGAGTTGAGAGACAGCGGCTGAAGCTTGCGAACGGCGAAGCCGAATTAGAACTGCCGGCGATGGAAACTGAAAGATATGGGTTTTGATTTTTTGAACAATCTGAAATGATCTTAAATATATGGGTTTAGAACTTTTGATTCTTGTAAACAGATCTGAAATATATGGGTTTTGAACTTCTGATTCTTGTAGATTTTGTAGTTTGAAGTTGCAGAGAGAGAGAGAGAGAGAGAGTTGAAAGAGATGGACGATTAGGGAGGCTAAAATGATTTACCTTAATTTTTCAAAAAAAAAATATAAATAAAATTTAAAAATCCAACCCATCAACCCGACCCGACCAGCCCGAAAATATTCAGGCTGGGTTTTGACTATAACCCTTATTTGGTACAATTCGGATTGACCCAACCCAACCTGATTCGGGTTGAGGTTGGGTTGGGACTGGGTTGGGTTGGGCCAGCCCAACTTGCAGCCCTACTCTCACCTCACTGTTTCTCTCACTAGATCGTCCCTCCACCCCACTCAATTCATCCACCACCTCCGTCTTTCTCTCTCTAAAAATGAACTTTCTTTTTTAATCAGGAACAAGAATGAAAGAAAGGATCTGATGGACCCATCATAATTTTAGTTTGGCTCCCCTGTTTGGTTGTTTTACAGTGACCATTAAATTAAATCTAATAATCGACCACATTCTAAACCCACCTATATTACATTCTCCTTTCAACACGAAATCATTATCACTATTTCGAATTTTCAAATTTAATATTTACCAATATCATTAGCTATAACAATAAAAGGTACGTACTAAAAAATAAAAATAAAAATCTCTTCACCTCTCGAAATCACGTTTCATCACTAATCGAAATTTTATTTTCTTTAAAAAAAAATTATAAATGTTAGAAAATTGCATCCATGACTTAATACTAAAGTTGACATTGCGTATTTGTTTAGGTGTAAAAAAGAAATAAAAAATTATACTATTGACATACAAAACATCAACTAAAACATTAATAAAAAAGTAACATGTGATTTGCACAACACTTCACAATTTTAATTATTATATACCTCCCTAAATGCATGCTATTTAAAAATTAGAAATTTAATCTATTGTTCTCGAACCTCTCTGTCACAAATTGTTTCATCTTTCTTGTTAATTTTGTTTTATTTTATTTCAAATTTTAACTAGTTGTAAACACTTTCCAATTACTCATACGTCATAATAAGTCGTATAAAATATTTTTTCTAGTTCTACTATCATAACAAAAATTTATTGACATAATGAGGAAATTCACAACATAAAATTATATTATTCTATGAAATTTCAGATTTTCATTATAAATTAGCTGTTTTTCTTAATTTTTTCTTTAATACTGCTATTATCATTATCATTTTTTTTTTTTTCACTATCATCATTTTTTTTTTGGGAAGCAAAAAAAGTATGAAAGACTGCTAATATGTAGAGTAACATCAAAGAAAATAAAAATTCTAATTAGTGGTGGTGAGACGTTCCAGAGGTGAAGCAATTTATATTTTTATTTGTTTGGTACTTACCTTTTATAATTGTAATTAGTGGTATTGGTAAATTTTAAATTTAAAAACTAGAAATAATGATAGTAGTTTTATATTAAAAGGAAAGTATATAGGTGGGTTTGGAATTTGCCCATTAGCTTTAATCTAATGGTTATAGAAACTGCGAAAGAATTTTCTTACTCCATGGGGAGCAAGAGATCACTAATTTATAGATATATGTGTATATATTTACTATATATATGTTTTGCTGTTTTATATATTTATATAGGAAGGCTCCCATGCGGTTCAAAATAACGGACTTTTCAACCAACCAAAAGTCAATTAGGAAAATTACACTTTATTACCTTATTAGACATAACCATAATTAATTTACCATAATTAGCCAATACCTTTATATAATCTCTCTCTTTAATCACTTCCATCGTTCTTACAATCTCAACCACTACCGCCATATCCACATCCTTAGTGCCATATCCACATCATCACAACCATCATCTTCATCATTACAGCCACAACACAACTACCATATTCATTCTCCAAAATCGGATCCAGGTCACAACTATTAAACACAAGTACTTCTATATCTAGAGCCAATAAATTGCTAGAATTTGGAGATTTTTTTATTTCTGTCTCATATGAGCAATTGTTAAAGGCGTCCATATGATGCCACAATCTGCTGTGTTTCCCAAGTTCCTTGGGTGATTCTTGGCATATGATTTCTCTCCCCATGTCCCGAAACAACTAATGCATTGTCAGCTTCTTATTGTTATCTAATATTGTAATTGTGAAATCTTTGTCCTTTCTAACAAATGAACAAGCAATGTTGAGAAATAAATTTCTATCATGATCATCTTGTAGAGAAACAAAGCTTATTTTAAGTTTCTTTAGGATCTGACTGTTAGGAATAGCTTCCAATTTCTTTAATGTACTTTCCCACATATCTACAAGTCTGCCAGACAGAGAAGAACCCAACATTTGAAAAGCTAAAGGAAGCCCTCCGCAGTACTGTACGACCCTTTTTGACTTCTTAGAGTAAGCTTCAATGGGATGATCTGGTCCAAAGGCATGCCAATAGAAGAGTTGAAACGATTCATGATCGTTTAATTCCTCAACTTTGTATATCTTATCAAGTTCATGTGCCTTCAGCAATTGCTCATGTCTAGTTGTTATGATAATTTTACTTCCTGGACAAAACCAATCTCGCATAACGAGTATTGCATTTAATTGGTCCAATTGATCCACATCATCAAGAACAAGCAGAACTCTTTTACAGCATATAGTATCTCTAATCTTAATGATTCCTTTATCAACACTACTAATTTTTACTTTTCTCCCCTTTACAATATCTGAAAGAAGTTGCTTTTGCAAGCGAACCAATCCATTGGGTTGTTCTGATATTTCGCTAATATCTGCAATGAAGCTGCTACCTTCAAATTTGCCGAAGTTAAGGTTATAAGCAGTTTTGGCGATGGTTGTCTTCCCGATTCCCCCCATACCACAGATTGCCGCTATGCCAACATCCTTCGATTCATATTATATCCACGAATTAATGTCTTTTACATGAGAATCTGTTCCAATTAGGGATGGACCAACACTCAAGATCATGCGATTCAATTTTTTCCCAATCTCTTTAACAATTTTTTGAATAAAACTTGACTCTTGCTTACAATTTGCAATGGAAATGAAAAAAGTACATTTAAAACATCAACTGTTAAAATGAAACAACAAATGATGCTTATGAAAATAAAATACAACAAATTACAAGGTGTTCAATTTTGGCCATTATGTTGACTCATATACAACCATACACACTAGACAGAATAACACACATTATACTATGTTAAAGATATAACAAAAAGAGAACAATAGAAAATACAAGAACGTTCACAAAATTCAGATTCCAAGTCATATAAGCAAGTTCATGAAAAGGGATTCATGCTGTTCACAATTTTAATGATATTTCCATTCTTTAGGCTTCATCTACTTATTTCCAAAAATTTTGTAACTACTGACTATTCTTTCGGAGTGTTATTATGTGATTTTAAACACCTTAAAGTTGAGTTACTGAAGCACTTTTAAACCCATAACCTACTAGACTTCTTTGTATCTTAATTCCAGATGTGTCTATAATTTGTTTTATACTTTAACCTTCAAACGCCTTGAGTTGTAAACTAAGAAGCACGGACACGGAGACGACACGGACACGGCGATACAAAAAATCCAAAAAAATTAGGACACGGAAACGGGAGGGACACGGCGAATAGCATATCATATATATATATATATATATATATATATATGATGTAATACTTTAAAAATTACTGAGTATTTTTTATCAGCCTCATAATAAAAAAAATACACAAATCATAACTCATCTACTATAATAGTGTAATGACTAGCCTTAAATATCTATTTGTTTTGTCTAAAATTGCATATTAACCTTACAAGTTTAAAATTATTATGTACTGACCACATAAGTGAGTAAAACTTGTTAAATAACTTCACATATTTATACTTTAACTTAATTTTCTTTCAAAAATTATCTTTTAGACCCCAGAAAATAAGACACGCGTGTCAGACACACACCCCTGGCATGTCGGACACGTGTCCGCGGAGTATCCGTGCCGTGTCCGAAAATTAAAAAATAAATAATTCCAAACATGTTTTTAGTGTGTCCGACACGGATTCTTCGTCCATTTTGACATGTCCGTACTTCCTAGGTTGTAAATAAAAATGATTAAACATGTTGTTCGTTTTAGTCCTTTCATGGTCAATCCGTCTTTTCTTTTTCCTTCTTTTTTCAAGCCTTTTGAATTGATATCTTCTTATCATCAAATCTCTATATAAATGATATAGTACATTCGATAAACTCAGATTCTTAGTAAAATTTAAACATCCAGTATTTGGAAACCACTATACCACAAATTCTGAAACAGGACAGTACTATAACATCACATTTATATATCATGGAATTCTAATTCTACGCCTACTTGATCTCTAGATAACAAGTCTTTTGCATCTACTTGAAGTCTTGAACTATTCTATCAATTTTTGAGTGGGGTCAAACTTTCATACTTTATCAATACTTTGGCTGAAAGTATGTATATTATAAATAAATAAATAAATAATACAGAATATAGATAGTATTAATAGTGTTTCATTACATTTCAACTACTTTAAAATATTAGCATTAAGAAATAATGTGGAGAGTGGATAACATTAGCATCTAATGGCATGAATAAGTTGAAAGTATAAATCAACATTATTAACACTTTAAGGAAATTACCCATCTCTTAAAACCATCCCTGCCGTATCAGCAACTTCTTTCAGAGCTACTTTCCACATCTTTATCTTGTCCAACCCCGCCTCTTTTCTTTCTTTTGTCTCTGCCTTAAATCGCGCTTCGTGTATAGAAAATGCCTCTGCAAAACTCCCCGTCTGATTTCTTAAATGAGATGGATCCCCATTATAGAAGACGGGCATAATTATATAACCAACAGTCTTCTTGTGCTCAATGATATTCAAAAGCTAATCAAGACGCCATCTTGAAGATGCATAGTCTTTTGAGAAGACTATTATTGAAATCCTCGACTCTTGGATTGCCTTATTTAGTTCTTGGGTGATATTCTGTCCTCTCTCCAGTCTGTCATCGTCCCTAAATGTACGTATTTCTGCATGTAGTAGAGCTGTATAAAGGTGATCAGTAAAGGTATTTCGGGTGTTTTCACCTCTGAAATTCAAGAACACGTGATAAGAGCATCGACTTCAGGAGGCTTCTTGGGCTCCCATAGCAGCCATTGAGCAACAATCTAAGAGATCAATGAACAAGGAATTTATGCAATCTGTACAGCCACAAACAGTACTTGGGTAAGATGTCAAAAAAATTAAATCGATGATATTGTGTACTCAAATAAGCAAAGTCAACTAAATCCTATATATGAACCAATGTGCATATGGAAAATGCTAAAAAGAGTGATGCTTTAACGAAGTATACTTGAGGCAAGGGTTAAATGGAAACACACGTAACCAAAAATCCAGACACAAAATTCTTCAAAGTGGCCGCATAACGGTTTTATCACAACTCAACTAAACAAAATTTCATCTAAATTATTTGTCGCATTCTACGTGAATCTTACTTATTTCACCATTCGCTCTTTCTAGTGTTAAGTATAGCTTCAATGAAACTACACACTATCACATCTTCTTTACTACATGAACTTGTGTTAGTTTTTATCTTCTTTTGTCTATCATTGACATCAAGGAGAACAAATTACTTTTCCTCAGTCCTCACTAGTGCAGTAGTTGGTTTTTCCTGCACATTACCAAAACCGTGCTAGAAGATTTTCCTCCAATTGATGTTATTTTCATCTTATCATGAATGTGTTAATTTCTAATTGTGTCCTCCTTTGTCTTGACATACATCCATCTCAAGATTCTCAACATACACATCTCAACAGTGATCATTTTATGAGCATTTTATTTCTGAATTGACGAACATTCTATCCCATAAAGCATGACTAGGTAAAAAAAAAAAAAAATCTAATTTTTGGCACTTTCCGGAGTCTGGTTTTGAAATCTAATTTTTGGCACTTTCCGGAACATTCTGAAATGCATAATCCAATACGCTCTGGTGAGATTGTACAATTTAATTTTTGTATCTGTTTGTCTCCGTAAAATATTTTCTGAGAAGTGTTTTTTTGGCACTTTCCGGAGTCTGGTTTTGAAATCTCTCCATCTCTCTTTACCTCCCTCACATCCACTCCTGACATGCACTCTACTCCCTCTACACCAAAACAAGCTCACCTGCTTCAGCAATCAATCAATGAAACCTATTAGAATTACAAAATAGGGCGAACACAAAGTATTCGACAAATGCCCCAATAGAGAACGGTGTGTGTGTGTTGTGTGTGAGATACATGTTTAGGAACACTAAAATTCATAGCTGCATCATGGTGAGAGAGTTGAAGATAAAAAAGGTTTCAAGTCTTTCTTGGGCCACTATTATTTCAAAGTTTAATTGGGCCAAGATGATCCAAATTAGTATATAGGATCATTATGGTTATTTCCATGGCCCAATTTTTAAAGCTTAATAGGAACAACGTTCTTTTTTAGCATTTTTGTTTTTTGGGTAATGTTTGGCTAATTGAATTGTATACTCATGTTCATACTTTTGATCAAATATATGATACTAACATGCTCAAAAATATTTTATATAATATATGTGGTGCCTGTTTTAAACAAATATGAAGAATTGTCGGGGCAATTGGTTAACTTTGACACAACATGTGTTTTCTTTAGTCCCAATATCAATCCTCGGTTGAAGCAGCAGTCGAGACTTTTGCTAGGACTGCACGAGGATGGGTGGAGCAACAAGTGGCTGGGGTTGCCACACACTGAACAGGTGAAGACAAACTTTTTTTCAAGTGTTGTTATTTATTTATTTATTTTTAAAAAAATAATTTTTGCACCGAGTAGTAAATTATTAGATCTACTACTTTTAATTAGTTATTTATATTAACAAATAAAGGAGTGGAGTCCCCACTCACTACCAAGCACGGACGTAGCATAGGACCAGTTGGGGTGGATGCCCCCAATGGATTTTTTATATTTCTATTTTGACCTCAATTTTTTTAGAATTTATGAAGATGCCCTTACTAAAATTTCAATTCGCCCCCACTGAATATATTTTATACTTTAAACTTTTGAGAATTTATGAAGACGACCCCATTAAAATTACAATCTGCCTTACTAAATTAATTTTTTTTTACATTTTACACTTTAAATTTTAAAAAATTTATAAAGAAAACTCCATTGAAATTACAAAAATAGACCTACCATATAAGTTTGCCCTACAAATTAAAAGAGCTCCCCCTCACAAAATTTTCTAGTCCATCACTGCTCACTGCATTTGTTTTTGTTTTTTGAAAGTTGAAAGATTTAAAGATGTATACTGTAAAATTCTTCATACATATTCACACATTTTGTGCATCAATTACTTTTGTTACCGTAAATCAATTTAACAAGTCCGCCTAAACCTTTCGATCTCTGCTGTGGCAACATTTCAACAAAATAGTGTTGTAGAAAGGAAGAACAGAACCATACAAGAAATGAGGAGGACAATGTTACTTCGATCCCCAACTTAACAAAGCCCAAACCGTTAATCATTTTTACGTCAATTTTCTCCATAGGTTCAAGTTCAAATTCCTTGGAGCTCAACTAGCTGTTTTACAACCATGTCACAAAGTTGTTGATCTTAATAGGTTTGATGTACTTGTTACCACTTCCAGTGACCTGCATAAGTAAAAATCCAAGTACCACAGGCTTATTGGAGGCTTGTGTAATGCTCAGGTGTTTTTTCATAACCTAATTAAGTACTTAATTTTATAAATATGAAACAATAAAGTACATGTAGAAGAAGGAGGATCACAAACAAAGTAAAGAAACAAGAAAAAGAAAAGGTCAGGGCATACCCCAATCCACTACAGGACTGACTGTGAAGAAAGAAAAGAAATAAATATTCGAGATTGAGAGGAGACCCAAAGCGGTCAAAGCCTTCAAAACATGCCTCCATAGCCAAGACAACACATCAGAGAAGAGCAGTAGCCCCAATAGATCATATGTCAGAAAACCAGAATAAATGATCCCGAGAGTCGGCTTCTTCAAAACAATTATGAAACCTCTCCTTCCCTTCTGAGGTTAAAAAACAAAAAAAGAAAAAAAGAAGGGAAGGAGTTGTGTAAAATAAGAACTGCCTGAACTGATATTCTTGTTCTGTTGCAGCTCCAAATTAAATTATGCTATGGAACAGGAGCCACACGTTCCAGACAGTACGTTTTCTCTATCTTGCAGACCTCTAGAGGTAGAGAATCAACACATTCAGTCACCAAAACAAGGTTGTTAAAATCAGGATTCTACGCATAATCGTTTTGGGTTCTGTAGAATTGGAATCGTAGAATCGGATCGTGAATTGTAAGATTCTACCAAATTGTGAAAAAATAATTGAATCTAACTTCTTAAATAATAAGATCTGTAAAATATAACCAAAATAAGACTAAAACACACAATCTTACTTATCCATGAGTTCACAAATCTTAAATCCTAACAATATTCCAAAGTCTGAATATAAATAAAAGAGAATATTCCAAAGTCTGAATATAAATAAAAGAGAATATTCCAAAGTCTGAATATAAATAAAAGAGAATGTAGCTCAAAATAACATAGAGTTCACAAATTTCAAATCCTAACTCATCCATCTCCAAAGTTAGAAACTAAAATTACATATCCATAACATCATCATTGAACTCTTCACCATCAGTATCATCATCACCATCTTCCTCATTAGCATCATCAATGGGATTTAATGGCTCTACGTCTTCATTATCATCAATTGCATAAATTTCCTCAACTATAAAGCATAAAGAAAGAAAGAAAATTAATATAATTTAATAATTTATTCAATATTATAATAAAAGTTTAAAGTTTAAGTTCTTACGTGTTCTAGTCATCCTTTCTACTTCATCTTCTTCATTGGTATCATCTTCTTCATCCTCTTTTTCGATAATCCATTCATCATCGGAAAAGACATCCTCAAAATATGGATCATTCCACCAACTATTGGTATCACCAAAATATAGATCATACAACCAACTTTTTGTATCCCAATTACCATCAGGAAAGCTGCATTGATAGACGTCAAAACGATGATGGCAGAGGAAGTAAGCACCTTTGCTCACCTGATACGCTGACAGGTCAAAGTTATTAACATTTTGACAAGAAGGATAGGTGTTGTATGGGGTATCCTTCTCTTCCTCCATAACATGGATCCCAAACTCCTTTACCCGATGATTACCTTTATGCCAAAAATCCACTAAAATATTCACTTCATCGCCAGCTTCCATTAATTGATTCACAATATTTCAATGGCTTAACCATACCATCTCCTTGCCCTCATCTGGATAGCCCATGAATGTTGGGCAGTATGTCCACTTCACATCCTTTGTTCTATTACTCACTTTAATCATGCATAACTCATCCAAAATTTCCAAATAACCATCGCTCAGATTATCAGTTTGTGCATAGACAACACATACATTCAAGCCTTGATCTTCAAACTAGGATATGAAGATACCTCAAAAGATATTGAAGATATCATGCTCTTAATGATGAACCAGTCTAGAACTTCACTACTAGGGAGAAAAGTGCTAAATATACCCAATTCATACAGTCCCTACAGCATCAAAATCATAATTTTTAAATCATACCAATATGTGTGTGTGGGAGCGTGTGTGTGTGTGTGTGTGAGAGAGAGAGAGAGAGAGCTCACCTGAAGGGGAAGTTTTCTTATAGTAAACGTCATTTTATTGACCAACCACACTTCAATATTTCTCAAGAATTCCAAGTTGGACAAGCCCAAATTGCTGATCATTACTTCATCAAAGTTTCCAATTGGTTCTAACTTGAACAATCTCTGAACCAGTTAGTTTCTCACAGTCATTTATCATCAAATCCAGTGAATTCAGGTTTGGTAGATTTGTTATCATTTCCAGTGACCTGCAACTGGATAAATACAAGTCCCTTAAACTCATTGGAAGCTCCGGAAGTAACTGGAGTGTTTCACAATTGCTTAAATAGAGTTCCTCGAGCATAGTGAGACACTTGATGCTCTCTGGAAGGCTACAGATTGGATTTCCACTTACATCCAAGTACCGCAACAGGGATAGGCTACCAAGATTGCTTGGAACAGCATCACCTGATAGGTTGCAGCTAGCAAGACTCAACCTTGATAATGAGTGTGGTAAAGAGCACAGCGAAAAGTTGATCGATTCTGGAATTCTTCTTGGTCCCAATAGCCAATCCCGGAAGTGCGAAGGCCATGATCTTACCCCAGTAGTCATGGAGGGTAATTGATTAATGTCAATCTCGTCTGCAAGGAGCACTTTTAGAGACTCCATGTTGCCCAGCTCTTCAGGTAATTTCTCGAGCTTTAAACAAGAAGATAGAATGAGTATTTCAAGAGATTTTAGCTGACCAATTTCCGATAGAAGATTCGGAAGATTTTTGCAACCTTTTAGATTCAACACAACTAGTCTCCCCAATTCTCCAATTGATCCATGAATCTTAATTAAATTTATGCAATTTTTGAGAATCAATCTTTCAAGATTCGGGACTTGTGAGAAATCGGGCGTATTGGTAAGATCATGGGAATGACTGAGATTGAGGATTTTTAACAATCTGAGCAACTGTATAAAAAAGTAAAAAATATTAGCATAACACACTCAACCTAAGCATTTTATCAATGCACCATGCAATGGCCCATTTAGAAATTAGCATATATGATATTCACAGTAATGACTAAAAAAAATAAGGAAAAAAGTTAGTCTGGGACCTTGTTTCCAATCCAAACTTGTTTCAAGCTACTATTGCGCATGTCAAGAGCAACCACACTCTCTAGAGGAAAGCAATTGGGTATAGATTCTAAAGGGAACCCACGCCAACACAACCATCTTAACTTCCTGGGGAATTCTTCATAGTCTCTGGCGAGGTTTGTATAATTCAGATGGAGCAGTCTTAATTTGTGCATGCTTGAAAATGCATCAGTTTGCAATTCTACTTCATCCGATGTAGAATGTGATCCGCTTGTGGCAGAATTTTTGGGGACCCAAGAGAAGAAGCCTAGCCGCTGCTTCAATGCATTGCTTTTAGAATGTGGTGTGGATTTGTCAAGAAAACCTTCAGAATGGTGTCTATTTGCATTATCTAAACCAAGGGATTCCTTGGTTGAGCTATCTTTCTTAGGCACATTTAAGTTGAGGATGAGACCTTCAATGGAATCCGTTCCCTGATTAGAGGACTTGAAAAATAAGCACACCTACTTAAAGATATATAATAAGTAAAAATAAATGAGGCAATGCTTATTTCTTAAAGTTTTTTCATTTAATACACTAAAGGCGTCATTATGATGCCACAATCTGCTGCGTTTCCCAGGATCCTTGGGTGATTCTAGGTGTATAATTTCTCTTCCCATGTCCCGAAGCAACTGATGCATTGCCAGCTTGTTATTTCTATCGATAGTTAGGAGCCATCTATCAATGAGATTTTGAATCCCAACTTTTGTGTAGAAACCACACCCATCTAGAATTGTAATTGTGAATTCTTTATCCTTTCTCACAAAGAAACAAGCAATGTCGAGGAATAAATTTTGGTCATGGTCATCTTGTAAAGAATCAAAGCTTATTTTTAGTATCTTTAGGATCTGAGTGTTAGGTATAGCTTCCAATTTCTCTAATGCACTTTCCCACACATCTACAGGTCTGCCAGAAAGAGAAGAACCCAACACTTCAAGAGCTAAAGGAAGCCCTGCACAGTAGCGTACAACCCTTTCTGAGTGCTCCAAGTAAAGTTCAATCGGATGATCTTGTCCAAAGGCATGCCAACAGAAGAGCTCAAACGATTCATCATCGTTTAATTCCTCAACTCTGTGCATCTTATATAGTTCATGTGCCTTCAACAATTGCTCATTTCCAGTTGTTATGATAATTTTACTTCCTCGATAAAACTAATCTCGCATTATGAGTACTGCTTTTAGTTCGTCTGATTACTCCACATTATCAAGAACAACTAAAACTCTTTTATAGCAAATAGCATCTCTAATCTTGATGATTCCTTCATCCACACTGTTGATTTTTTCTTCTCTCCCCTCTAGAATATCATAAAGAAGTTGTTTTTGTAAACTAACCAAACCATTTGGTTGTTCTGATATTTCGCTAATATTTGCAAGGAAGCTACTACCTTCAAAGTTGTCGAAGTTTAGGTTAAACACAATTTTAGCGATGGTTGTCTTCCCAATTCCACCTATTCCACAAATTGTCAGTATGCCAACATCAATTGATCCATCTTGTACCCACGAATTTACGCCTTCTACACGAGCATCTATCCCAATTGGGTATGGAGACCAACACTCAAGACCGTGCGATTCATTTTGTTGCTAATCTCTTTAACAAAATTTTGAATAAAATTTGATTCTTTTCTACAAATTGAAAGGGCAATGGATAAGTACACTTAAAACAACTTCCGTTAAAATGAAAGAACAAATGATGATTTTATATATATATATATATATATATATATATAAAACAAATTACATGGGGTTCAATTTTGGCCATTACGATTCATATACAATAATATAGACTGCTGATAATTATGACAATCTCGAATTGACAGAATTACATAGATTATATAATGTTAAAGATATCTGACAGAAAAAAAATAAGAAAATACAACATTCATGAAATTCAGATTCCAAGTCAAATAAGCAAGTTTATGAAAAGAGCCATGTTATTCAGAATTTCAATGATATTTCTGGACTTTAGGCCTCATCTACTTATTTCCAGAAATTTTAGAATCTTTATTCTTTCAGATTGCTTTTATGTAATTTTAAACACCTTAAAGTTTAAGATACTGAAGCACTTTTAACTCATACCCAGCTTTTCTTCTTTTTATTTTGATTCCAGATATGTTTATAATTTGTTTTATACTTATTATGACCTTCATAATCCTTGAGTTAAAATTAAAAAAGATTAAACATGTTCGTTTTACCCTTTCATGTTCGATCCATCTTTTCTTTTTTCTTCTTGTTCTTTCCTTCTAAATAGAAATCTTCTAATGATCAAATCTCTATATCAATGGTGTAGTACATTCAATAAAGTCAAATTCTTAATAATGTAAGAAATCTCATATAATAAGTTTCTAGACTCAACATCCAGTATTTGGACACCACTATACCATAAATTCTAAAATAAGACAGTAATAATACATCACATTATGTATCAAGTCTTCTGCATCTAATTTAACTATTCTATCAATTTTGGATGGTGTCAAACTTTCATATTTATGGATACTTTGACTAAAAGTATATATATTGTGTGTGTGAATTAAAAATAATAATAAATAATATATAGATTATATTGATAGTGTTTCCGTATATTTCGACTAGTTTAAAACATTAGCATTAAGAAATCATGTGGAGAATGGGTACCATTAGCATATAATGGGGTGAATAATTTGGAAGTATTCAATCAATACTATTAACTCTTCAAGGAAATTACCCATCTATTAAAACCATCCATGCCAAATCTGCAACTTCTCTAAGAGCTGCCTTCCACCTCTTTATCTTGTCCAACCCCTCCTCTTTTATTTCTTCTCTCTCTACCTTAACTCACTCTTCGTGTATAGCAAATGCATTTGCAAAACTCCCTGTCTGCTCTCTTGCATTTGATGGATCCACGTGATAGAAGACGGGCAGAATCATATGACCAACCGTCTTCTTGTGCTCAAGGATATTCAGAAGCTCATCAAGACACCATCTTGAATATGCATAGTCTTTTGAGAAGACAATTATTGAAATCATCGACTCTTGGATTGCCTTATTTAGTTCTAAAGCGATAGTCTGACCTCTCTCTAGTCCTTCGTCATCCCTAAATGTGAGTATTCCTGCACATAGTAGCGCTCTGTAAAGGTGATCAGTAAAGGTATTCCGGGTGTCTTCACCTCTAAAACTCAAGCACACGTGATAAGAAAATCGAGTTGATGAGGCTTCTAGGGCTCCTATAGCAGCCATTGGACAACACTGTAAGAGATCAATAAACAACAGATAAATATGCAATCTGCACAGGCACAACCAGTTTTTGTGTATGATGTCAATAAAAAAATAAAAATAAAACTAAAATCAAATAGGTAAAGTAAGTTAAATCCCATATACAAACCAAAGTACATAAGGAAAATACTGAAGGAGATAAATTATACCTGAGTCAAGGTTAAATGGAAGAACACGTAACTCAACTCAACAAAATTTCATCTCAATTATAACTTCAAAGTGGCTTCACAAAATGCTTCAAAGTGGCTACACATGAATCTTGTTTTACCATTTGCTCTTTCTAAGGTTAGTTTTGTCTTCTTTTCAATATCATTGTAGATACTTGATCTGACAGAAAGATAAAGAAACCAAACCCAGTGGCTAGTTTCACATACAACAACAAATTAAAATTGATTAATGATCCATGTAATAAACTTGAAATATTGGGCAACATGGGTGTTCAATTGTAAAATGTTACCTGTAATTAGCAAAATCCCCCAAGAAATGGATTGATCGCTCCACTGAAAGATTGAATTTGCTATGCTCACCGCGGATCAAGAGAGAGGAAAGGAGCAAAAAAGAAGAGTGAGAAAGAAGGAAAAGTGTGGAATGATAAAAGGGAAGGAAATACCCATTCGTGCGATCCACAGAACTCAATGGTTCTTTTTTTGTTTTTATTTTTTTGCAGGCACCATTCAAGTCCTTGCTAATCGAAAGCAGACCTCATATTTACTTTTCGTGTCTTTGCCGACGCAGTTATACCATAACACATCAATTAGTTTTTCTTGTATTATATGTTACTTATGTTATAAAACTTAAATCATTAAACCCAGCCTGTTTTTAAAACTCCAAACACATACCCAATATTTAATTCCTATTCCATAATTAAACTGTAAATTTAATCTTATTATTTAATATTAAATTAAAAATAAAAAATTATTATTTTTTAAATTACAAAAATACCCTCTTTCTTTTTTATTACTGTGGTTGTAATGACCATTGACCCTTACCTCTGTATTAGAACTCTACGGATGTTCAAACTTGCCTACATGTTGGACATGATGAGTGTGACACTAACCATGTGTCTACGCACTTTACATGAAAACTGTGATTGCATTTGGGCTGGACTCTGACCTTCTCTCCTTCACCAAATTCTCCAAGGCAAATTGGGCAATCTGTTGCCGGAATGTTGACTCCAAAATTATACACCACCACCGGAATCTGACCCACCGCATCCTTCTTCAGCCCCGCCGAGGCTAAACGTGCACCAACATGATCTGGAGTCTCAAACCCAAACCTTGGGCTACACCGTAGAGCACCACGCACAATTGAGCTCAATTCAGTCACTTTTCCTGGTAGTTGTGGGTCACTCAGCGACCTAAGGTTTGAGAGAAGGACGGGGATGGTCCCCGTCCATGGAGAATCCAGATCGCTGTCGTTGTTGCCAGCGACCCGTTTTGGGTCAATTCATGGTTCAAGTCGCTTCCTCGTGCAACAATAGATTTTCTATTCAGTTCGGTGACTCCACGTCGGCAGCAACAATAGATTTTCTATTCAGTTCAAGGTGGTCAATTCATGGTTCCAGGTCGCTTCCTCGTGCAACAATAGATTTTCTATTCAGTTCGGTGCCTCCACGTCGGCAGCAAGTTGTCGGCAAGGAAGAAGAACATAAAAAATAATAATAATAATAATAAATAAGGGTATTTTTGTAATTTAAAAAATAATATTTTTTAATTTTAATTTAACATTAAATAATAAAATCAAATTTATCATTTTACATCCAATTAACGAGTCGAACTTTACATATTGATACGAGGTATAATAGCGATTTTTCAAAACAAGTTAGAATTTTATAATTAAAAATTAAAAATAAGGAGAATTTTATGATTTAAATTCTATATTACATTCCTATGTATTGGAGAGTTACTGGAGCCACACCTTCAGAGTCACCCAATCAGAAGTCGTGGTGCCAAACTGGCCCATTATCTCTATTTGAGTAATGGTCATCAAAATGGGCCTAATCAAATTCAAGCGAAAGTGGGTTGACGGAAAATTTCAAGTCTTTGGACATACTTTACCAAAAGGATAGAGCTGTGTTGGCCATGATACAAATATACAATAAAGTAGAAGATGACGACTCATGCCATTTGAAAAAAGTGATTGATTGAAAATCAGACGAGTAAAGCACGACAACAAATATGGAATCTAACTATTTAAAATAAAGAAACAAAACAAATATGGAATATTTAATCTCCATCACTCTTTTTTCTTAGTGTGGACTTTTTGTCCAATCCGTAAATATTATGCTCATCACGGGTGGGACAGTTTTCTTTGACCCCCGACAAAAATAAGTGTGTGTAAACTTTAAAGCGGTTGATCTCATTACAGAATGAGTTTGGATTGAAACCATACCATCTGAGTTTTGTGTTAAATTTTCATTATCAGTTCGTTGAGTCCGTTTTTCGGATCACAATGGAGTAATTTTTTTTTTTTGGAGCTCATTGACCAAAACTCGTTAGTGGGCCATGTTACTTTTTGACTGAAGTTTAAGGCTCTGAAATTATATTTTTTTGTTTTATAAGAGGCTTGTTAATTTTTTAAGATTTTTTTTTTTCGTGACCTAAATCATGCCCGATTGTTTTAAATTTTTTACTGATTGGGTTTCTTATTCTATTTTTTGAGAATTTTTAAAAAGAATTTATTTTTGGGCTTATTGTTTTTTAGAGGTTTGTTTTAGTTTCCTTACAATATTAGGGTTTTTTTTTTAATTATAAATATGCATGTACTTTATTAGCAAAATTTAACTTTTCATTAATAATATTTCAGATTGATTTGCAATTTTTCTTCAATTTTGTGAATTCAAAGTTGTCACGTTCTTTTGTGAACATTTCATAGCTTTTGCTACTTCATTTCTTTTTTTTCTTTTTCTTTTTTCTCAATCTTTTTTCCCTTTTATTTTTGTAATTTGGAACAGTGAGTGTTATTTGTTTATTTATGACAAATCACAAAATTAAGTATTTTCTATTTATCAGAGGACTTGCAGCCCATTGGTATCTAACACTCCCTTGATTTGAAAAATCAACAAAAGATATAATTTTCATGATACCAAGTTGCTTCTTCATTTTGCACAGAATTCATCCCGAATTGTGAGTTTCTCTTCCTCTTCATCATCTCCGTTGCTGTCTTTGTTTTTACTTTCATGTGCTTATCAATTTCTTCTTTGAATTATTATTTTTTTAAGCAGGTTCGCTTTATGCTCTGTTAGGTAGAAAAGAAAAAAAATTGAATGGAAGAGAAAGAATAAGAGATAGATAAGACAATCTTAAGAAAGAGATTGTGTATTTCCTTCTTACAAATTTTCAAGGTTGTTTTCTCGTTAACAGGAACTTGACTGGACTTTGCTTTTTCATTCTAGTTATGGAGTTTTAAGAAATAAAAATAAATAAAAGGGTAAGTTAGAAATAATTTTTGAATTTAGAAGCACTGCTACTACTAATGTTACGAGTCTATTTAACAATCACATCTATTTTTGCTTTATGAGTTATCTAATTTATTTTTAATTTGGTCACAAGTTACACTTATTCATCCATCTCTAATTGTTTTTAAACTAAATTACACTACTTACTTTGCACCGCCCTACTCACACTATCTATGTGAACAATGTAGAAAAATGTACATATAAAAATAATAGCATCACTGCCCTACTCACATTCTTTAATATACATATAAAAATAATAGTGTCACACAGAGAGAGTGAATAAAGATTTCCCAAGAGTGTCACCCACATTTGAAAAAAAAAAATTGAAAAATTCTCTCTTTATAAAACAACTATAACTGTTTTACGTACTTGATATGAAATTATGCAAAAATAAAATGATTAAATCAAATATAGTTTAATAGTAGTTTATAGCGCCCATTTGAATCCTATAGCAGACGCTGATATATTGGTAACAATTAGTAATTGATGTGACAAAAATTGATAGAAATACTTTAAAAAAAAAAAAAAAAAGGACGCCATATTCAGTTTTAGATTTTCACTTTGCCCAAAAAAAAAAATATATGGTGCCTCATTTGCATCCCATATAGCAGATGCTGACATAACGAGAAATCCTATGAAATAAACTGGGCTTAGTAGTTGGTACATCCATACCATTGGTTATAACTTGAACAATTATTCCCGGAACTCAATTAGTTTTTCACAATTATATTACAAAAATTGAACAATTATCGTTTGGATCCTATTTTCACTAAAAAGTGATTGCAGCACAAAGATAATGCTCTTAGACAATTTATTGACCTTTATTAGAAAGGAATGAGTTGTTGAAGAAATTTTAGTTCATCAAAACATTTTTGATTGGTCAAAATCCAACCAAATGAAGTTTAGAGTCACCCATAGCCGTTGATTGGAGGTAGCGGAGACACGATTTGAGGTAATCTTCTCCTCTTGCATGGAAAAAACCATGATGGCAGAGGAAGTAGGCACGTGTCCTCACCTGATACACTGACAAATCAACATTTTGACAAGAAGGATAGTGGTATGGGGTACCCTTCTCTTCTTCCTCAAGCACAACATGGATCCCAAACTCCTTTAGCTTAAAACCCCGACAGCTTCCATTTTTTGGGGCAACGAAAAACAACGAAACATTCAATTCATCACCAGCTTCCACTAATTGATTCACAAAACTCCAATGGCTTAACCATAGCATCTCGTTCCCTTCATCTGGAACGCCCATGAATGTTGGGCAATATATACACTTCACATCCTTTGTCTTATTACTCACTCTAATCATGCAGAACTTAGTCCAACCATTATCCATCCAATTACCAGTTTGTGCATAAACAACACATACCTTCAAGCCTTGGATCTTGAAATTAGGATTTGAAGGTACCTTAAAACATATTGAAGATTCCTTGCTCTTAATGCTGAACCAGCCTGGAACTTCATTACCAGGGAGAAAACTGCTAAATATACCCGATTCATGCAGTCCCTACACCATGTAAACCACAATTTTTAACTCTTACAAATATGAGTGTGCGTGTGTTTGTAAGAGAGAGAGAGAGAGAAAACTCACCTGGAGAGGAACTTTTCTTTCAGTTCCCGTCACAAGGTTGAACAAAGAAACTTCAATATTTCTCAGGAATTCCAAGTTGGTCAAACCCAAATTGCTAATCATCACTTCATCAAAGTTTCCAATGGGTTCCAACTTGAACAACCCCTGAAGCTCACTTAGTTTGTCACAACCACCTGACAACAAAAACAGTGACTTCAACAGGTTTGGTAAATTTGTTACCACTTCCAATGACCTGCACTCAAGTAACTCCAACCTGCTTAAAGTCATTGGAACCTCTGGAAGTAACTGGAGTTTTGGGCAGCAGTTTAGATTGAGTCTGTGGAGCATAGTCAGACACTTGATGCTCTCTGGTATGCTACATATTAGATTTCTACTTAGATCCAAGTTCTGCAACAGGGATAGGCAGCCAAGATCCTTTGGAATAGCATCATCTGATAGGTTGCAGCCAGCAAGACTCAAGACTGATAATGAGCGTGGTAAAGAACATAATGAAAAGCTGATCGATTCTGGTCCTCTTCTTGGTCCGAATAGACAATCCCGGAAGTTTAACGGCCATGATCTTACCCCAGTAGTCATGGAGGGTGATTGATTTATGCCAACTCCGTCTACAAGGAGCATTTTCAAACACTCCATCTTGCCCAGCTCTTCTGGCAACTTCTCGAGCTTTAAACAATGAGATAGAATGAGTACTTCAAGACATTTTAGCCCGCCAATTTTCGATGGAAGCTTCCGAAGATTTTTGCAACCTTTTAGATTCAACA